AGCGCCATCTATATCTTTGCACCGTGCCTAGTGAGTAGCGCCCTCTGTCACGTCACAATATGCTTTCATCGGGACAGTTATCCACCTAAGGCTGTCGGGCCTTATTCGTACAAGATATGAATAGTTTTTCCTGCCTAACAATGGATATTCCAGTCTTGGGGGGATTGTTTGTGCTTCCCGTAATTTATCAGGTTCAGTCTTATCGAGACGTTCGCTGGGTTTGGAGACACAGTTTAAGTGCGTCTCCCACGCCTCATTGCTGCTTCGATTGCAGAAAATAAAATGCGAACGCAAAGAATACAACTATCGTTTCTAGTAATTACAGTCATGAAGGCTCCATATGACTGCGACTTTTCAGCTGTTATAGAAATACTCTCAACATTTCGATTTCTGAATCCGTCATTCATTTTTAAAACGGGACTTTCTCCGTCCAGCATATGGGACCTTAAAATGACAGGGAGGAAAAATCCAGAAGTTATGTGGTGTTGACCAAGCATCAGTCACGCACACAGACTCCTGAACTTTGCCGTGAATCGCAGTTATCGGCTTGTAAATATGACTCCTCTGAGTTCTCGGTTCCTGGCCCACTTGTCTTGCCCACAGAAAAACCCAAAGTGTCAATTAAGCACCATACAAGGGAGGAAACGAGACGGGCCCCCTGAGCCTTGGCCTCAGAGTCAGTCCTGCACTAGGCACCCACCTGCACTTCGCCGACAGTCCCAGCAGAAGAACTTACCCAGTCGGCTGAAGGCACTGTTAACAGTTGAGGACAGACAAATAAGTGCTTCATGTTTTTTGATGCAGAGCTGAACACTTAAACAAGAGACAGCATCGGGATTCGAACTTCGAACTCCTGAAACAAGATGAGCATCGTGAACGTTGTAGTTGGTGGTTTAAAAGTAGCTAATAGTTTAAATATAGCTTGAGGTTTTAGAACGTATAGCTAGTACTTTTTAAACAGCTGTGCTGCAGTGGTATAAAAGTAGCTATAAGTAGCTGATCGTGTAAAAAATGGTTGTTGGTTTAACACTAGCTGTTGGACAAAAGTAGCCAGTGGGCTGAAAATTAGCTGGTAGTGCAGAAGTAGCTGGTGGTTAAAAGTACATGGTGGTTTTAAATAGCCGGGGGTTAACTAGCTAGTTGTCTAAAAGTAGCTGGTGGTCTGAAAGTAGTCAGTCAGTTCAACTCAAAACAAGCGATCACGATGTGTGACACGCCACACTCGATAGTCGTTCATACAGCTGATCAACGCTTCTTTGATTAACATGGCTTACCGTGAGAGGGGCTTCGAAAGAAAGACCTTGTTTGCTGGCAGTTTACTGCAGGGAGGCACTTTCTCTGCTCCTGGATCCTGATGGACACCTTGAGAAAATCACCTTACAACTTCTAATTGGTTGCGTATGTCCTCGAGCTGACACTAAGGACAGCTGAGATCATCCTTGTACAGCACCCATGAAGGAACGTAACCAAGGGCTTAGTGAGGGTCTATGTCTCGCACCCGTGGGGTGATGGTTGCGCGCCGGGAAGACCCTCAGCTTGAGATTCCCTGATAGATGGGACTTCCATCTTGCTCATTTTACTGAGTGCTCTCCAAGCGAGGGCTTTTCTGGTCTTCACAGCCTTCTCCGTACTTTACATCCTAGACCTCAACGCACTTCTGATTGCCTTTCTGATCTGGTCTGAGAGCAGGACAATATCATCCGCAAAATCCAGATCAGATCTTGGCCGGCCCGGTTCTCCTCAGCCTCATTGGCATGATGGTGAAGCCAAAGTCATTGTGGTCCTTGAGAGCTTGCCTCAGGGTTAAATCGAGCACGACAACGAAGAAGAATGGAACGAACGTGTACCCTAAGAGGACTCAAGCCAGTATGTCGATCACACCGCTTTGACTATTAGGGGTTGATCATCTTGGCCTTCATATCTGTGTAAGTGGCCTAAATGGTTTTCAGAAGTCGCTGGGTAGAGGATGGATCGAGTCAAATGCTGCTAGGTAATTCTTCTTTACCTCCCCGATGACCGTTCAAAGGGCAGGTATCTGAGATATTGTGTTCCTACCTTCTCTGAAGCCACTCTGGTTGTTTCAGAGGGGTTCATAGCAGATCGAATCCTGTTGAGAATCAAGCGGTTGTAGACCTAGGTCGTGATGCAGGTGAGGCGTCATTTTTAAGTCTTCGTGAGGTTCCCAGACAATTATGGACAGGGGTGACGTTGGATACTGACTACTGTTCTGGCTTGTCCTTTCTTCCACTTCAATACTCCTTCTGCATCTCCCCTTCTTGCTTCGCCTGCTCCTCCTGCCTCTCCTTTGCCAGTCCTTGGAAGCAATTGAGCACCTCCATAGGGTACTGGACTTGTAAATCTTGTCGTGAGAGGTGTCATCGAACTCTGCTAAAAGAACTCGAGGGCATGCTGAGTCATCAACTTCCATGCACTTCGACTGAGTAGCCCACCAACTCCTCTTTGAGCCGGGCAGGTGGTAGGCCCCCTAAGCTCTCTCCATGTTGATGAAGTGATCAAGTTTATCCCCTCCACTTCCCGGAACTTGAAATAATCCTCCAATATGGACACGTCTGTGCTCTCGGACACCAAGGATGTCTCTGCCTCAGTTCTTGGTGCCGGCAGCTAACTCCAGTCTCCGACTCTCAGACTTTAAGGTCGGTGCATTAAAGTGCAGTGTTCTTCGTTTTGAATTCAGACTGGCCCTTCCCCGAGGGTTTATATAGGTGCCTGTCTTTATACTGCCCAAATAGGCCAAAACCTTCATCAGCCGCAACACTCCAGTCCGGCCCTTGGCCGTCATATATAATTAAGCGTACCATATCCGTCATATTTTACTATGCTAATACAAGCCCAGGATCGCCAGCCTCTGGGCCAACCGTTAGGGTATAGCATCCTCATCCGCCCTTTAATTAGCTCCATTCCCACGGAAACGTAGCAAGACATGAGTCGCGCCAAACAAGTTTCACTGCTAATCACAGTTCCAGCCAGCGGATTTGTAATCTGAGTTGTCTGCCCTCTTTATAGGCAGACTGCCGACCTAGGCCAACAATTACTACCTACCCGGGTTTGTGACCATTTGTCCTCCTCCATGGTGGATTGACAAACAAGACTGATGATCCACCTACCCCAGACCTGGTAGCCGGTGGTTTAAAGTACATAATGGTTGTTTAAAAAAGGAGCTTGCTGGTGGTTTAAATGTACCTGGTGCTCTGAAAGTAGCAAGAGGATTAAAAGTAGCCAGGGGTTTTAATGTCGCTGGTGTGTTTTCCTAGAATTCCGTGCAAAAGCAGCCCCTCAACGGTGACAAAAAGAGAGAAAGGGCCAGCCTCTATGGTGTCATACACTTGACTTCTTCTGAGCTCTGCATGGGATGGGAGCACTACCGAGTGGATGGTTCTGATATCGCACTGCATTACTACATGACCTCCAACTGCATCAGCATCGGCAATGCTGTGCGGCCGAAATGTACAGTACATGTACGTGTACATACAGTTCATATGCAAAAACCATTTCCATGTATCACAGTCTCTTGTGATGATGTCACGCTATTCTAGATGGGCAGAAACTCACTCGCAATTTTTTTTATTTTGGGAATTAAAAGCAAATCAGACAGCAAAAAGGAAATGTTTTTTCTTAATTGTCAAAAACATTGTTGCATACAATTTTTAGAGCATGCATCAAATACATGTCAGTAGTGTATGCCGAAGGCGGAGGGTGGGGCAACTCGATCGCTGTAAGGACGGACCCACAACCAACTTTTTCAGGAGGGCGGGTCTTTTAGGGGGCCAAACAATTTGTAATTTTTTTCATGTAAACTTGTTATGAATTTTCGGGGGCTACATTTAGGGAATTTTACACGCTTTTTGGAGGAAGGAACATGACACATACCAAACAATTTGCCTTTCATTATTAAAAAAAGAAATTTATTTGTTGGTCCTTTTTTTGGGGGGGGGAGCATGGCCCTCGATGGCCCCTCTGGATATGGCCTTGGAACGCTGCTACACACCCTTCTCTTTAATAATTTATTGCTTTTATACAAACATAATGTGCGAATAAAATCGGACGGATATTTTATCAATCTAAGAAATTATATAAACCAGTAGATGAGTACATATCAAGGCACTGTACAATGTACATGGACGGACCGGTAGCAATGAAATAAATTATGCTGACTTAATACAAATCATAATTCCGAAATACTCATGTTATTTACAACATGTTATGTACAGACTCTAAAATTTGGTGGGAATTGGTAGTTAACACTCTTTTTGACTAGCCCCCACACCATGATTATTAAGTCATTACGGGTTAACTGCATAAAACAAGAAAATTTCTATTTTAATCAATTAATCTTATGATAAGTGGAAATCCCTCCACAGCTTTTCAAAAATTAGATTGACATCACAGCTCTGCCCCAAACCGCAACCCGAGCCTTACCATATGTAGAAAACACAGCTAAGCTAATTTATGTGCTGAGCCATCGGTGTGCGGGACAGCAGGTAGAGTCGAACGCAATTGCCTTCGATACCCCAGTCTTTGAATCAATGCTCAATGAAATATCCCCGTAGACAAGTTGATTTTCTAATACAAGTGCCCTTTGAAACTGAGAAATTGCCTTGCCCCTTCAAGAACGAAGTTTCTGCCCTACGATTTACACTCCGCACAGCCTATATTCTGAAAATTACAGTATACAGCTCATGAGCAAGCATGGTTAACACGCAAGGCATAATGACATTGTGCCTTGGCTATATGTGTGCTTTCCTAGAGGGAGCTAGGTGGGAGACAATATCCACTAAGTTCTAGTAGGAAAGCGCATATGGGAATAAAAAGTGACTTCCATGATGGCATGGGTTTAGTCTGGACTCTGGACTAGTCCATGGGTCTCCAAATTCATCAAACTGGTATTCAAATGCAGTTTGCTGGTCATTCATCCCAAAACAACTTGGCTATGCCAGTTGTTCCTGTGGTTTGCTTTCAGGAATTCTGACATACAAATTTGTTTCCAGACAAGAACACTTTTGAGGTGACACATGTGGTTGAAAATGTACATCGCTGTTGATGGGCATGCTGCTGAACATACAAACATACTGTCCTCCAATCTTGATAATGGAACTATTGTGTTGCTGGATGCTAGTTAAGTGGCATGGATTATGTTTCAGGCATCACAATTTGTATGTGCTACCCATGCTCCTGATAAGCTTTGAAAGCTCGGTCGTGGACCTGCAGGCATCCAGGAAATAAATGGTGCCTTTCTCTGTTGCGCGTACACATCTTTGAGCCAGATGGTTCAATTACAGATGCTACCTAGGCACTTGACCTTCAAAACAAGAAAAGTTCATTGCTTATCATGAGCAAACAGCGAAAGTACAAACAAAAGTAATTAATATTTCACAAGATTTTCCTACCAAACAGCCTTGATTTTTACAAGAATGGGATCTTCAAATACAGAGGATGGTATTCTCGCTGCCACATGAAAAAACTTAGAAGGGTTCTGATAAAAGACTAGGCTTTCTGATGCCTTCTAGTGAAAGGTATTTTGCAAAGTGCTGTAACTAGTTGCTATCCCTCGTATGTTAAAGTTTTTTTACTGTATCACTTGTGAACTGACTAATAAAAGCAATCCAAGCGTCATCTACCGTGGGACTGAAGTTAAAACATGCAAGTCGGGGCATCACTTGCAAGGGTGGATCCCTAACCAAACTTTTGGAGGGAAGGGGGCAAACTTTTGGAGGGAAGGGGGCAAACTTTTGGAGGGAAGGGGGCAAACTTTTGGAGGGAAGGGGGCAAACTTTTGGAGGGAAGGGGGCAAACTTTTGGAGGGAAGGGGGNCTTTTGGAGGGAAGGGGGCAAACTTTTGGAGGGAAGGGGGCAAACTTTTGGAGGGAAGGGGGCAAACTTTTGGAGGGAAGGGGGCAAACTTTTGGAAGGAAGGGAGCAAACGTTTTTGGGGGAGGTCTAAAACTTTGGAAATTTTTTCGGGCGACCTTTTAAGGCCTTTGTGAGGGATGACTGGCTGCATTTGGGGGCTTTTAAAAGCTTTTGGAATGGAAATCAAACCCAAACAAATTGCCACTCATTATTACTCAAAAAGTTCGGCTCTTTTTTTTGGAGGAGAGCCCATGGCCCCCAAACGGCATCCTAACTCTAGATTCAACCCTGCACACTCCTGAACTCACCTCTCGCTTGCAGCAGATTCTGCCTAGCTTTGATGAAAGCCATGATGTCTGCGTCAGCTCTCTTGTCTCCTGTTAGCTGTACGGCCGGCTGGCTGGATGGGTCCAGTAAGGACCTGGCCGGGGAAAAGGCAAAACACTAAGAATTGATTTGTTAGTAAACCTTGAAATGCCGATAAAAAATGAATTTCACTCGCACAAACGCTTTCTGACATTTGCACTTCTTGTTGCATTTGAGTGGGCATCATTTACACAAGTTGAAAATCCTTCAAACTGACTCCTTTCCACTGTTAACCTAATGCCGGGTTGCTCAAAACCGGACAAAAGAGCTGGGCTTTGTAACAAAAGGCCGTCCTCAGAACAAAAGACCGAGCTGCTGGGAATTTCAAACATTTTATCACTTGTTGATAGCGGAGGAAATCCATCATTGTTTTGAATGATTATACCACTGTTTATGGCATTCAGCGCGAGCGGATTACCACCACAGACAAAAGAGCTCCAGCGTTCCAGAGATGAGGGACACAATACCACTGCATGCTAATCTGGCCCCGATTGAAAAGACGTCAGAAGCGCACTGTGCCGGTTTCAGGAACAAAAGAAAATTGCATAACACCGCACAATCTGAGCTCTTTTTACAAGGCGGCAGACCTGGCTGAAATAGGCGTCAATAGGTGTTGTCTAGAAGATTTGAAAAGCCACCAGACAGTCATTTGTGTGGGTGTAAACGTCTAGTAAATGAAGTTATGAAATTTTAAAGAATTTTGAAAACAGAAAAAAATGAAAAATCACCCGGTCCAGCAGAAACAACATGAATAAATGGGCCCGGCACAAAGTGGTTAATGGCTTATCGGTTTGTTGATGAGTACTTTGCCCCCCCAAATAAAAGTACCATCCCCCTGAAAAAATCTGGAAACACCCATGGTGATCGAGCCAGACAATGTCACATCACATGCTCCCAAAGATTTAAAAGACCAGATTAAAGTCCAAGCACTTCTAAGCCAAACTACATCTGTGCAGACATAACAAATGAGGTTTTTTCATCAATCAAATCACCTAGTGCGACTTGAACTTGATCTGGCCTCTTGGTCTGTTCTGTCGACACTGCCAGAAGACGACAGCTTCTCTAAGGGTGGGACCACGGGGTGTCTCCCGCTGCCCCTGTCCATCTGGGCTGACAGGGCACCGAGGAGGGCATTCCTGGATGCCCCTGAATGTGGCCGCCGGGCAGAAGCTGGGTTTGCCATCGAATGGTCATGCTTGGTGTATGCAGCGCCATGCTGGGGATCACTGGGGTGGTCCGGAGCCTGGTCCTTCAAGGGTGATATAGGTGGCGTCCTCCAAGCCTTGGAGGGATTTGACGGGGGAACAGTCGGAGGCTGCGGCTGTGATAGTGACTGCTGGGTCTACAAAATTAAATTAACAAGTGGTATTTAACAGAGTTGAACTTTTGCAATCCTGAAGGTTTAAGGATCTAACTCCTGATATCCAAGAAATTTATAAAGTTTGGAAAAAACTGAACAACTTCTAACTTAATACTTTGCATTAATTGATAACAGGACAAGCTGCTCAAACAAAGCATTTTAGTCACAAAAACTTAGGACGCTGACTGTTCAGGTGATAACGTGGGGCTTAGTCAATCCCTTGGTAAAGTACAAAAATGGCACTGTTCATGACTTTGCAAACACGAGCTGGTGCTTTGTTAACAATCAAAGATGTTGGAGAAGGACTGGCAGATACATGCATTAGCTTACAAGCCTCTTGCGTGAAGTAGGTTTTTCAGGTGCAAATGACACACACACCGAAGATGGCATTTAACGTCAGCCCATGAGCTTTCGCCTCGCTACTCAGGGAAGGGGGGCTTGCGCACTGGGCCTATGGTAACTAAGGGTTCAAATGCCGCTCATATCAGATACATATCTTTGCTTGTCATAAATTCACAGCCTGACCTGTAGGCTGGCCGCCTGTTCGGCCCACCACAGCTCAAAGTCCTTCTGTAGCTGAAGCCGCGACTTCTCAAGGAAGTGCTGCAGGTGCTCGATCTCCGTCTTGAGCGACCGCAGCTGGGTGAACGTCTCCTTGTAGTTAGCCTTCTCTTGCTCCATCTGCTGCCGAAGGGACTGCTCGACTTCGTCGGGCCGGTCTGGGTCCGGCTCCCCGCTCATGGCCAGCTGGAGACGTCTGTGCTCGATCTGGCTTTTCAGTTTGTCTGCATACAGTCACAAATGAGAGAGAAAATTCCAATCCAATTCTCTGATGACGGACAGAATATGTCAATCCAAATCCCACCTTTGCTCTTGATTCCTTACTCAAACTCCTCAAGAAAATGATCCTCGAATGACTAGGAACCCAATGGACCATTGTTCTTAAATCAACATAAAACACGCACCAAGTCCCTGTCTCAAGGTGAATTGTTGATGGGAGATTACTCTCCTGAGTTTTCTCATATTTGTTATATGTTTGTATGGTTTTTATGAGAGTATAATTCCTTTTTATGCCCAACGTATTGGAAGTGTAACTTCAGTACTCCTTTTTATGCCAAGTGTATTGAAAGTAACCAGTCTTTGTGAACGTTCGGGGGTTGATGAGCCCCTGTTACTATTTTTATGTAAATTATCAAGGTCATATTTCTGGGTGGGAAACAGGGGAACGTGACAGTCCCATTGACGCCGATATCTACGTATACCTTCTCAAATCTTCAAAGTTATGCAAAACTTCCTAGGTGGATAGTGATATGAATTTTAATCAGCCAACACTCCGGGTATAAGCAACAGTAACTGCTGTGATAGTACCAGTGTTGACCGCTTTAAACATTGCACTCCCATTGCAAGAGCGTTCTTAAGAAAATTTCAAGCAAAAGTATCATGGCAGCATTTTCTCACTTATGTTCTGTCTGCATTCATTGACAAACTGCCCCTTGGCCTTGGCTTCTGTGTAGCGCTGTTTGAGTTGCTGCTTCATGTCTTCTATGGCGGCATTGTTGGGGTAGTCCCGTCGGAAGATCTCAAAGGCTTCCTGCCTGCCAACCGACATGTCACCTTTGTGGAGAGAAATCAATGTTACCGTGAATTTCCACGTGTAGTTTTTAGACATGCATTTTAGGACTAAGGAGCAAGATTAAGAGGCGCTTCAAGCCAAGTGTATTTTTTTCAAGTGATTTTCAAGACTTGACCTTCCAGTACAAACATTCTGGACAAAGCTGCAGCCAATTTCATGAAACTTTGAGCAATGGTGTAATATCACTTATGCCACAGTTTATTGCGTACGTTGTGCAACAAATTAAGAGCGATTTCACAAAACTTACGCACTGTGTAAGCCAAAATTTGTTGTGTAAGTCACAGCCTTACACAACAAATTTTGGCTTTAAGCCAAAATTTGTTGTGTAAGTCACAGACTTACACAACAAATTTTGGCTTAACTTATGCAGTCATTTTAGGTGGCATAAGTTGTGCCAAACAAAGCCAAAATGAATGACTAGCTGATCGTGTTCGGTTAAGGCTCATCATTGTCAAACTTAACAAGGCTTATAAAACTTGTTTCACTGTGAGATAACTGTGAGAGATTTTCTGTCTAGTTCCGACAAAGAAAGGATGAAACATTTTTCAAAATGGCCTTCCTAAAGCCGTTATCAAATTAAATATTATTCAAATGTGGTACAGCTAAGCATCTTTTTGAGAAATTAAGTGTAAGTGTATTGCACAGCCATTGCACAAGGCTTACTCATGGTTCAAAGTTACGCCACGCTTCATAAAATATGCTTCTGGTCTTTCAGCTAAAATGGATCAAGTGAAATCTGCCAGGTAGGGTCAAAATGGAAGTGAATGGAATTTTTACTGTCTGCAGGGTTCCTGCACCTAAAGGACAATTAAATTCCACAACTTTTCAATGACCAACTTATGAAAACCCACGACCATATAACAAAATTTCTTGGACTATTCGGCCTTTTAGGTTGCAAATACAATCACAGATTTTATGTGCTTATTTCTGATAACAGAAATCACACAGTGCTTTATGACTTCCATGACAAAATTCCATGAGTTTTCAAGGCCTGAAAAAAGGAAAAACAAATTTCCATGACTTTTCCAGGCCGCAGGAACCCTATGTCTGGTAATGTTAAAAAAAGTAGGAGGGAGAAAAATCAACAAGCCGTTCTTCACAATTCCTACCAGTTTAGGAATGACTTCTTTACTTCTTAGAAGATTTAGGTAAATGTAAAACTACATTCACACTAATATTGAAGTCAACAAATACAAACCTAATATTTTCCTTTTTGAGTCTTTCAACCTGTAAGAGGAAGAGCTATTCTCCTTGTGCCTTTCACGATCACCTGATCTACGCATCGCGTCTGATTGGTCAACCGACTGCCTGTCACTATCACGTGATCTGTATTCCTCATCTGATTGGATCCTTCCCTGCCCGGATCTCCCATGTGACCTGTGTGGCTCTTGTGGTTTGCTGTTCGTCTTGTAAGACGAAATGTTGGCATTGTATCCATTTGGAATGTCCTGATCGGAGGAGGATGCAGAGAGCTCCTGATGGTGATTTCCACCGGGGTTGTGGAGTTGGCTCAGTGCATCCTGGGCTCGCTTCTTCTCTTTCTTCAGCATGTTGACGAGGATGTCTGGGGCATCAACAATGTTAAAGAAATCAGCAATTCATCAAGTGCCTATTGATATGGTAAGACAGGAAACCAAGAACGGCTGCACTCCTTTGTGCAGGGGGATTCTCGGTGTAGTAAACACCACACTGAAGGTGACATCAATGATATTAATTTGGCTTTGTGTTGGAGAGATGTTAACTTGCACTTGATTTTAGTCTTGCACCCATGCATATAATCACTTTGTACTCTCCGAGTGGTTCAGGACTTCCAAAACACAACTTTGCTCAGGTGGGATTCAAACCCACAACTTCCTGCTTACTACATCAGAAGTCTCCGGTGATATCAACAGCAGAGGACCTTAATGGGATTCAGGTACTGGCATTCCTGCAGATGGCATGCGGAATTTCAATCCCAACTACACAATGCAGCAGTTCAAAACAATCGCCTGAAATTAATGGCGAGAAATTCCACTTTACAGCAACACAATACTGTTTTAAATACACCAAGACTGAAAAAGATTGATTTTCGTTCCCGTTCTTGGGGCCTGTTTCGTTTCATGCAGATCCGCATCTTGATCAGTTGCCCCAAGGCTGGTTCACTCCGTCCATTAGGCAGGTTCTAGTGTCAGTGAACAAACCTAGGATCACTGATCACACTACGCATCTGTGCAAAGTAAAAAGGCACTGGGGTTTCTTAATTTTAACTTTTGTGGCAATGACACCTTTTCCTGTACGCAGGCTGGCAGGAAGTGTGACACTTTCTAAGGATACTGATCTCGTTGTCTCTCTGTTTGAGCAGTTCCTTCATCTTGCTCATCTCGGCCTGGTTGACGGTTGGCAATGAGTCGACAGAAGTCACAGGATCAATGGCTTGTTGTTTATCTCCTATATCCTCTCTCTGCTCTGGTCTAGAACCATCTGAAGAGGCAAAACCTTTCCCCTGTGTTAATCTCTGTCAAGGGAAACCCAAACAACTGGTTCTCAAAATCTTCACGCCACTCCCTGCTTGGCTCAATACCAAACAGCACATCTTATTGATACACAGATAACTTGGTCATCATCTATTCAGTGACAAAATTTCGCTAATTAATATACACACATACATACATGAAAATTGACAAATGACATGCTAAAATTTTCAACACAATGCAACTCTGCCTCACAACACAAGGGATGATGCGCTAATTGCCATCCTGACATTTTCCAAACATTTTGAAAATTCAGCAATTATGCATCATCTCTAATAAAACATATGTCACATGATCTGCATGTGGTGCTTACAGTAGGCCTTCTATTCTTGGCCAAAAGAATAAGGACCTGTCACTCCAGAAAACAATGCTAGACAGGAAGGAATTCACATCGGTGGGAATCAAATACAACATGGGCAACACGTACTGACCTTGAGTATTCTGAAGCATTCATTGATCTTGCGCATATCTGCCCCGACATTCAGCGTCGCTTCTGGATCAGAATCTCGGACAAAGCCATCAACGAGCTCCGTCAATCTGCAAAACAAATGCATACAAACACAATGAAAAGCCCTCAGGTTGAAATGACCTCCACAGCTTCAAAAAGGACTCCGCAGGACTGAAAGCTTGTTGAACAATGGGCAGCCAATACATGACAGTTATATCTGGGGCCTCAAAAAGGGCAGGGGACCAGTCAAAAAGAAATAACCGGTGGTTTTCTTTGAACCAGTCAAAAAGAAATAACCGGTGCTTTTCTTTGAACCAGTCAAAAAGAAATAACCGGTGCTTTTCTTTGAAGAGGTTTTTTGAAACTGAGATCCTGACTCCTATGTTATCAGAAATAATCGTCATAGATCAAGAAGAGGTCCACAGGATTGCAAGCTGGTTGAACAATGAGTAACAGATAAATGACGGGAGTTTGGCCTCAAAAAGGCAGGAACCAATAAAACAATAAGAAAATACAAGCAATTCTCTTGAAGAGCTTCTTGAAACTGTCCCCCTGATTCCCTTGTTTTCTAGTCTATTTCACTCATGTTATCCTCATTAAGCTTTCAATTAAGCTTTCGTTAGTCCTTCTGAGATGGCAACAACTGTCAAAAACTCTTACACCTTGACTCGGGAAGAAAAACAAAAAACATTTCAAGCCTCTTCTTACCTCTCCTTGTCCTCATCTGTCAGGTCCTCCATGCTCTGTTCTCCTGTGGCCAGAGCAAGTTGGTTCTTTAGCTCTTGTATCTCTCCCTTCAAGCGTGCAATCATCTAAGAAGAAAAAAACCCAAACACCTGCAAACTTGAGTTTTCAGTTCCTTTTAAATTTTATCCTTATGCTAGAAAAATACTGGCCGAGGATTCTGGAGTTTGGTTCACTTCTGAACAAATTTGAAAAAATCTCAAAAAGTCCACAGGCCTCCTCGACCATTAGTTTAAGCAGAAAAAAAATACTTTGAATGAGGTGAGAAGCAGGGAGTGAAACAACGCCTTAAAATAGCCAAATCACTGACTTACAAGTTTGGGATCCACCTCTTCATTCAGAATGGCATCGTTCTTGATCAGTGCCACTCTCTGGGCAAATCGGCAAGTAGATATGGACTCCTGGGACATGATGCAAGAAGACTTATTTATTATTTGCCTTTACTTTAAACTACTGATCAACAGGTTTAATCAAAAATTATAAACAAAAAGCCACTTCCTGATTCAAAATGTACATTTCCTGATGTCGATATCAAATGACAAAATTTATTAACAAGAAGCTACTTCCTGATTCAAACGATGTACATTTCCCGGTGTACATTACAGACATGTTTAAGACAATAAAAAGGGAATTCAGAGGCTCCTCAAATGGGTCACTGCAGCGAGGCTGTACTCACATCGATGTTCTTCTTCTCCATTGAGCACGTTGCAATCATGGTGGTCATGCAGTTGCCACCTAAGCTGTCTCGCAAGACTGACGTCATCATGGAGTTACGGTATGGTATGTGTGACCGGGACTTCTCCGACAAGGCAACAATTACCTGAGTAAAAAAAAAAATGACTGACAGCTGGTATGAGTTCATACTTTCTTTTTTTATTTGGGGGGGTGGATGAATACTGGAAATCCACTCAATGTTTATTTACTCTAAACTATTCAGATCAACGATTTCAAATTTTAGGTTTCCACATAATTCACATTTAAAAGTACACAACTTGTGGAAAGAAAATTAAAATGGACTGATTTTTTTCAATTTTGACAACTTCTTTCGGAATTTTTGACATTTGACATTATAAGCATACCTGCTCAAGAAAGTGCAGTGACAGGTTAATGTACTTTGCCTCAGTCAGGAGGGTGCCTCCAACTCCAGTCTTGCCAACCCTTTCTGATCTGTTTACAGATTAAATAAATGTGCTGCAAATATTACCAATAAGGTCTACACTGACTGCACAAGATCTGGCCCTTTTTGTCGCCACACAATCGCCTGCGAGCTTCACACATGGACGGTTTATGGCAATGTGTGTGTCCTTTGTGAACAGAGGGACACCAAACTGAGGGCCCTTCTTGACAATGACAGAGCGACACATGTACCTCTATCAAAACCAACATCTGGACGAAAACTGCACACAACGTTGCACAACCAATATCCAATCAACAGAACGAATTCAAAACAGTGTTGTACTCAAGTACTTTTCGAGCACTAAGTGTACTCCCAAATATTGCACTAGTTACATGTAGGCGAAACAAAGCCGAAGAACATGGGAAATGGATAGTTACAAGATAAATTTAGGACCCTCAAACACTCCCAGGATTGTAAAAATTAGGTTTAAAAGAGAAAGTCCTCAAAGAGTACTCAGCCAATGATTCAAATGGAATGACTCAATGGAATTTCAAGTACTTTTGTCACAAAAACTCAATTCTTATTAAACAGCAATGGTTTGAAGTCCCTTTAAAAGAAAATCTAACCTTTATGCATTTTCTGTCCAATGCCCATGCTGGCTTTGTTCCATCCCTTCCAGTTTAATATTTGGCACAGAACTTGGCATTCGAAAAGTACTTGACTACAATACTGTTCAAAACCTCAGCATGTAGTCTGTGCCCTTAGTCAATGTGCACGAGTGGATATAGGCCCAGCATGGGAATAAGACCGAGCAGTGTGTGCTGCTCAATGCCCGTTCACAGGCTTTGGTCAGCATTTGAAAACTGGAGCACTTGTCACACAGCAGCTTTCAACTGTTCCCACATAATGTCTCTCATGATTCTAATGGAACTCTGAACTGTAAAAAAAATAGGATTGTGTTGACATATCTGAAATAGAAGATTGTTGGTCCGACCACTGGTTCAAAAATGGTGTGATTCATACAAATACCCAAGTCAGTTACGGCTTACCCGGCGAGATCCACCAAGTGTAGCTTGGCTCTGCGGATGGTGGCTGACCCTGCCTCGCGGATGGACACGTGGATGGTGAAGATGCAGTGGGAACGGGTTGAGGCTTGATTCATCGGTGTCTTCAACAGAAATCAACCAAAATTTAATACAGCTCTGACCACTTGAACGCACATAAATCCTCACATGCTAGCGAGGGACTTGAACACTATTATTCCATACAGCAAATACAGACATCCATTGCAATTGGTGTCACAGGGGTAATTTGCCATGCGCAATTACATTTTTCGTTATCAAGCTTTTCAGAAACAAGACAACAACAACTGAGGCATATTTTGGCCCAAACTTCAAGTTTACTTTTTAGGCACTCATTGGTTTTTCTAAAAGACCTTTTATTACCTTGCCTCAGGCAGCAAAGGGCAGTGTGAGCGTCAGGACATAAAATAACGTCTTTTTAAATAATGATGCTAGAGCAGAAATCTCTTTGTGTGTGTATGTACCAATGTAAACCCAGGGGTCCCAAAAACGGCACTACTTTGTTGTTACAGATATCGCAACATGTCTGCCAACCCTTACATACAGTTCTCCATGTCCCAGTACTGGACACGTCTGCCAACTGGGCGGGGCCATTTCTCATTGGTGGGTGTTCTCACCTCGGCAATCATGCGGTTAGTGTCTCCAAGGAAGAGGAGGTTGAGGGCCTCCTCCTCACTGCTGGCCTGGTGGATGGAGAGATTCTTGAGGTGGATGTTGCCATCGCTGTCCTCCATCAGGGACACCTTCCTGATTACAGGCCAAAAAATCAGATGACTTCTGCCACCAAAAGGTGGATTCAACATTTACCAAAATGGAGGTAGAACCTCAGCATATGTGCAATGCCTAAATAATCAGTTGACAGAAGATGAAAAAACCAGGAAAAAAAGACAAGATGTTGATTTCCCAAACAGAGGAATGTGAAGAACAGGTGCCACGGATTTTCACCTTCATTTCCTGGACAAACTTCACATTTTGTACGTGAGGTTGGTCTCCAACTCAAATCAGAAATTCTATTCAAACACACAGGAGTATCAAGGATGTCCTGAGAAAAATTCCTAGAGGTAATCCCGCGGTATGAACTACGTGTGCGAAAAAATAGAAACAGCTGCTGGCCATTCCAAACACTATTTGGTTGCTTTACTGCACGACAGAGATCTACAACACGCAGCTAAAACAAATGCCAGAACTATGCACGGGCTCACACAAAAGAAGAAAGCCAGATCATTTCTCTCCTTTTTTTAGTCCATACATTTTCTTGTACTTACGGCAAATCCTCCAGCTTGGAAGCTTCATGCTTGGGGTCCAGCAAGTCATACCCACTCTCATTGTAAATTTCTAGGTAGGAGATGTGAGTGGTATAGACATGGCCAGGGTTCTTCATTGAGGATAAAAGAAAGGTTGAATCTTTGAAACCTCTCAGTACAAAAAGACAATATACATGTATACTGCACAAACAGGGCAGAACTTCATTCTCGAAGGGGCAAGGAAATATTTAGCTCCTTCACAAAGGACACTTGTATCAGGAAACCAGCTAATCTAATAGAACATTTCAATAGGTATGAAGGCAATTTGCCTCTGATACCGCGATGAAGTTCCTCCCCTGTGTAAATACACATGTACATGTATGTAAATGCGTCTCTACATGGATACAGTAATATATATAGACATTCATAGTGCAGTGTGCACACACATCTTGCATCATCCTTTTTTTAAACTCTAGTTTTAGCTATCCATGCCAGGCAGTATCTTTCAATCAGCAATCTTTCAGTAATGCATTCTAGCAGACTGGTATACGACACAGACCTCTCTTAATGTACCCCGTACAACTGTGATCAGACCTTTATAATTAAAAAGCACAGCTCAGATCAAATGCATCAACCACCCTACGTGGAGTGTCCTAAAACTTGGTATGTTTGACATCCCACCCTGAGCCATATCCAATACTCTTTATACTGCCCAAACCAAGTTCTCCTCCCTCAGGTGTCACCAATCCCCCCCCCTTCACCGACTTACCTTAGCATATTCCTCAAAGAGGTAGGTGAGCATCCTGGGTATGATTCCCCGATCAATGTAGCGCTCAGGTCCCCCGGTGATGGTGAATGTCTTTCCACTTCCAGTCTGAGAATCGAATCAAGAGTGAATCATTCATTTTAGTCAGACATGTACCTAAGGCAAGCTGGATGATTCATTAATAGTTTACGCAACAAAACTCTCCAGGGGGTGCCTCCGAACAAAACAAATCCAATTTTGAGGGTCCACAAATGATTTAAAGTTGTTCCAAAATGTTTCACAGTTTTGTAACACTGTATTTCCAAATTTTATTCCAAACTACATTTGTATTTATACATACGTATTTATACATGTATTTATACATGTTTACACACGTATTTATACATATAGAAATCAAAACTTTCCAAACTACTGTTGCGACTGATTTCTTGTGTATTGATTCCGTACCTGGCTAACATTAAAAAAAATAAAAATAAGTATGCATTTAAGCTACATCACTGTATGCATTCAACTACATGTACATGTGAGTTCTTACCTGTCCATAAGCAAATATAGTTCCGTTGTATCCAAGTAAGCAGCTGAAACATAAGAAATTAACACCAAAAAGGAGGTATCAATTGAAAGGCTCAAGGCTAGGTCATTGTTGCAGAGAGGTGAACATGGCTCAAAAACAAAGGCTCAAAAACAAAGGCTCCCATGGTGAACAGGGGAGCCTTTGCATAAAATATCTTTTCGTCATACGGCCAGTTTGGAGGTTGAAGAAAGTTTCACACTCTTTAACAAGTTTTAATAATTGGGACCCAACTTCTACGTACATGTTTGCATCACCTCTTTCAGCATTAATTGGACGCGATCGTCCAAAGAGACTTTACAAAATGTGTGCATGTGGAGTAGGTTGTAGTGTTTCAACACATTGTACAGTACATGTATGTACTGTCCCCAGTTTCATCTGACATATGATTTCATAAGTTTAGAACACATGTATTCATTAATTAAATTCCAAGAGTGATGCAAAGTACCACCCAAACACATTAAGATAGTTTGAAATCAAATTCAGTGATATCCTTTATCAAACTACACAGGTCGGGAGTAACAGGGACAGGAAGAATATGCCTCACATTGGGCTACTTGAATTCATCTCTCATGGGCCAGATTTACAAATTCAGTTGGAAGTCGGTAAAAGTTATGCAAGTATGCAGCCTTACTTGTTGACAACGTCTTTGGCTACATTGTCAAAGATTTCATCCTGCTTGGTGTACTGATCAAAAAGACCATCAAATCGAAAATTGTATTCTTCTTTCTTGTTGTTGATGAAGCCAGACGCCAGGTCCCTGGGGACAACGATGCTAAGCTTAGGCAAGCCACCATCATCTTCATCGATTTCGAAAAGCTAGAAAGGATTGTTGGAAAACGGATGAATCAGGATGAAAGGGCTGCTGACAGGTATTAGGCAAGACTGTATTTCAATCCCTGGGTCGGGAAGGAAATTGCCAGGAGTATCATGCAACTACCTGTGTACATGTACAATACGTCTAGTACCCTATGTATAGATCCAGAATAATAGGGTGAATGATGAGAGGGTGCTGCAGTTCTGGGAGTAACTTACCATGTTTCATGTGCCAGTATGTGGAACCACTAAACTGGCATGACTGATATCAAGGAAAGGCTGCTCCGAGGGTGCAGATTTTGTAAACCACAGCAATTCTCCAAGTTTTAGGTTAGGTAACCCAGGGAAGGATAGGGAAACCACTGACACTAGGGAAGATGACACTGTAACACTGTACATGTACGGTATCAATCAGCTAGGCCTACTCAATTCTAGATACTCATTGGTGATTCTTTCAAAGCAAGACTACCATTACAAGATGTACATATAGGCAAAGTCTATCATGTCTATTCCTTCCTCCATGATCTCAATCACGATCTCAACCCTCATGGGAGTGTGGCGGACATTGAACCCCACAGCTTTGGGGTTGTCATACATGTAGGTTTGGAACTCTTTCCCCAGAACAGGACCTGTAAGTACCTATAAAGTGCTGTAAATAACGCTAAACTGATTGTTATGATAACTGTAACAATCATCATCATTGACATGAAGTCATGATTGATACAAGCATTCTTGTAGTCACATGTTGTTTGTATTGCACTCACGTCTGGGCAAGGAGGCAACTCTCCCTTCACTTTGCATAGGGATTTATATTTTTTCCTCAGCTTTTGCAGCCACGTGATAAAAAAAACTGAAACCTTTTTGGTAGAGGTGTGGGAAATATTCATAGCGCATGAACAGTGAAATTTCCAGCATATTTGGTGTAAAGGTAACTAAAGAGTTTGGTCAATCATGTCAATAGCCTTATTCTCATTTTCCCCACAGTATAGGAACGTGAAATAGTGGCTCATAGAGGGCACCCTGTTTGGTCGTTTTCAGCGTATTGCGTCTTTGAATCAGTCTGATAACAATACCTTCAGCTTATTGCCCATTTCTAGAGTATGGTAGGGATATGTGAAAATAGACTTTTATCAACAACTGGTGATAAAGGCCCTAGTGTTGTACAAACCAACGGCACTCTTGCTTTTGTAAGACATTTTGAAACTGGTTGGATCATCATCTGAAAAGTGTGATCGTGGATTTTATCAAGAGTTTACCTGAAGATAGGATAGTATGAGAATAAAACCCAACAATTTGTAAGCTACACATATTAATCGACATTTGTGGAATTTTATTTGTTGAAATTTAACGAATTGCACAAATTTTGTACGCTCCGCTGAAAAGTGATTGCCGCAATTGTACAACGCATATTGCATGTTGTGCATCACGAAGTGATTTCCTGTGGAATCTTGGCACACGTTGTGCATAGGCAACGTCGGTTGCAAATTGTATCAAAAGCTACATTTTAAGTAGGCCTAACATTTGAAGTGTTATTGCCCAATCTATACTTGTTATGTACAAAGAAATAGCCAATTGTTCAGCTCAGTTCACTTTATTTTCCAAATAGTATTACTCTATAGTAACAGTTTCACAAAGTGTATATAGGCCTAGCCTATGTGGATGGGGCCCCCAAGGAGCAGTGCAATTTGCAAAGCAGATGGAAACAAATTTTTCGGGATTCCTTTTTTGGCACGATAATCATGATAATTGAATGGATTCCTTGCTCTGTGGCACAAATTCTCACTTTTTGTAATTTGTTTGGTCCTACAAGTTATTATTATTTTTTTTTTGAGGGGGGGAAGGGTGAGTAAGTAGCATAGTTTAATTAACATAAGGCCTAGGCCTAATTCAGTTGCAGTTAGGCCAATTCATTAGGCCACGGTCATATGACAGTTTGGCATGCAAGATGAAAATTTTAAACTAGGCCTGTCGCAGTTTTTCGTACGATCCTACGTGATTGTCTCACCCCAGTTTTGGCTTTCGTCGGCTTTATCCTGCAGAAAATCTTAATTCCTTGCTTGACCATGGCTGGCTTATAGCATAGACCTACATTGTACTATTCTCAGTGCCGGATCTTCTGGGATTCCTGGCTGTCTTTTCGATCTCAAAATATGCACCACTTGTAATGTACCTTCTTGTGGCGCCCTCTGTTGGTACGTGAGTAGTTAAATAATTTAAATAAACCAAACTCTACGCCGCAGAGTTTGGTTTATTTAAATTTGGGGGGTTTTGTCAGTTTGCCTTTTGGGGCCAATTTCAAAGAGCTGCTTAAGCAAAAAATCTGCTTATGCGCAAAAAACCTGCTTAAAAAACAAACGTTACTAGCTCAAACTCTGCGTGATTGCCATGCTAACCAAAAGACAGCTAAATGCTATTCCAAAACGATTTACATCAAATGGAGTTTGGTTGTTATCAAGCAAGGTTTTCTCACGCTTAAGCAAATTTGGTGTAAGCAGCTCTATGATATTGGCCCCAGATTTAATGAAATGATTGTTTCGTTTAAATTGGTCTCGGTTATGTATTTTGACAATAAAAAAACAATTTGACAATAAAAATTATAAAGTTGGCGATATAAGTGTGGCAGGTAAGTTGCATCATTCACGATGAAGTTATTTATAGCTCTGTTTAGACAGGACTTGACTGGGGCATGTGATTTTTGCACGTGATCGTGATCAGCCCAGCGCCAGTACCAATGCGTGCGAGGTCGAGGACACACTAATAAAACCACCCCATCTGACAGTGTCAATAGACGTGCACGTACATGTACATGTAGCTGATGAGACGTCGTTGCTGCAGTGCTACTGCTAGTGGACCGTCACCTCGTGATCCAGGAGGGAAAAATCTTAAGGCCTGCAATCAGAAGAGGACGTGTAACTGCCTATAATTTTTAAAGATGTAAGTGAGTAACTTTAAAGTCATCACCAACTGTCCCGCTGTATGTAAGCTTAAACCTGGCCCACAGTTGACGGGCAAAACTCATGTCCCTACCATCGATCATGACCATGCCTAGTCCAGCCTACTTCCTAGTGTCAAAGTTATGATACTTGATACATGATGTAGTCATCGTGTCCTACGTACATGTACTGTATGGGCATAATCATATCCCTCCACTTTTTGAGGTGGGGGATGGGCTATTTAATCAGGTAGTCAGAAAAGATGGTCGTCATGGTCATGTATGCATACATGTCTCATAAATACCGGTACACTTGATAAGGCCTATTCTATCAATTCGTCTGTGGTTCGATTTTCAACTTCCCATGTCATGTCTCTTCAACGTGAATGTGTTGTTGGTGGAATGGTACATGTGAAAGTATAACTAGGTATATGTGATATGCATATGACGAACATCGTCATTCGTGACATCCTTTTCTGACTACTAATTGAATCATCCAACCCCCACTTTTTTGTGGTGAACAAAAAATTAAGGTAGTTTAGTATGGGTCCAGAAGTTTCGGCAAGTTTCTATCTTGTACCAGTTAGGTGCATTGGAAACAGGAACCAGACCAGTCTACATGAATGGATCTCAGACTGTATTTCCCTGTAAAAAAATCCTCCAAGGGTATGAATCTACCCAAATAGAAAAGAAAAACATGTAAGCCTATAGAAATTAAACATACGATCTGATTTTTAAAATGGAGGGATGTGAAAAAGGAAAGAAAAAAGGGGAAAAAAATTTTTGTCTTCGGTGGACTCAACCCTAGCAAGTCTGGATTGTACAGCGATGTGCGTACTGCTTGAGCCATTGCAATGCATTGCTTGATTTAGGAAATTGAACCTTATATTGAGTAATAATGATAATTGGGCAATGCAGTAACTATAGAATTTCGGAAAGTCTCGTTACAGTTACCTTAACAGTAGCCATTTTGAAAAATTAAACCGAATTGTGAAGAATTTTTCGGTCTTCCCAGACTTGGGCCAAAGAGTAAAATGTAGACCTACTCAATATCACTCCAAAAGGGAATACAGTAAAAAAGACATAAATGTGCCATTCTGATCTGAGATTCTGCACGAATGTAATACATATTACAGATGTATCACAAACATTGCCCTATGTATATTGTGATATAGTGCCACTCCTAAAAATCCCTATCCCCCAGTATCCGGCACAAATTTATTACCAATCGGTAAGGGGCAAGTTGGCCAGGGGACGAGTTGGCCTGACACCTTAAAATAGGCCTAGCTGTAACCTTTGTCGGCATGCAGCATGATACAGTTATGAATGTAAGTACAATGTAATGATTGGGTGCTGTTGGTAAGATTGTTTCATGAGGTGATCGGTTGAATGTTCTATTCTAAGGGGTGAGGCTTGAAGGCCATTAGGCCAAGTGGATTGGAACATTGCAATCTATTACAGAATGGAATTATTATTTTTTTACTAATATGATACAGTGTATGGCCCCTGTCACCTGATTCATGTGTCACAAGCCATACTAGGATACCATATTAGTGAAGGAAACAGGTGCAGTCATTGTCCCTTTGTCCTTCCACATGTCCTTTCTAACATTATGTAACATTACCCGGATGCGGTATCATTTGGCGTAACAATCACGTGGCCTCCATTCTTACGCCACAATTGGCTTATGCATTGTATTTCCATACACAGTGTCTGTCATACACGTCCATGATTCACATGGCCAGTTTTTGTAGTTTTAGTATTATATTTCTGAAATGGTAGGATATTTATATGTGGCATGGGCCGTTCAATTACTGCGACAGTTATCACATTTCCAGATCAAAATAAATATTTCTGACTTTAAACCTTCCCGGAATTATCCTGTCCTTGCTGTTGTTTAACTTTTTTTTTTTACTTGAGCTATTTGTAATTGTAGAAAGTTTTGTTTGTTTATTTTCCTCTATAATGGCTCAGAGAATTTGTTTGTGCACCATATGCAAGCAGAGTTGCAGTCTGTAATATCGTGGTATTAAGAATTCGAGAGATGGTTCCTATGGAGGCCTACAAAAATAAATTATAAATAAAGACATAAGGAATGAGTATTGCAAAGCTGTGTGATAAATGTGCCAGTTGTAATTGACTGTTTTACAGACTTCTGCTTAAAGATGCCCTTCACCAAGACAATGAGATAGGAATACATGTAATTGCACTGCGTGACCTTACCCTGATTAATCCAGCAAGGAATAACTTTAAATCCTAACTGAGAAGTAACTTGGGGATTAATCTTATAACTTAATTCGTATTTGTACATGCACACGGAACAAATATCTGCAGATATTGCAGATTTCATTCTCTTGACGGCACAGTTGGAAGCCTGAAAAAATACTTTAAATGTCTGATTTCTTAGGTCTAGTTCCCCAGGAATTATGGCCATCTCATCAGGCTTGAATTATTTCATAATTAATGTCAGAAATTCTAAATTTCCCTTGAAAATTTGGTCAAGTTGTATTAGAAATATAAAAAATTTGAAAGCTGATGTTTGTGTAATTATTCGCTACTACGTGAAATTGCCCAAAGGATAAAAGTACAATTGATACAAGTCTATTATTGTGGAGACTGGGGTGCATTTTAAGCATGAAAGCAGTTTTTCAGCACAGAATTCCTTATTTCAACACCTTTGGCCATTCTGGCAACCCAGTAATGAATATCCGTGGGATCCATTGGCAGAAATATTTGTTCAAAAGATAGACAGTAGGTGTTGACAGACATAGTGGAGGAAATTTACAAAGTACAGAAAACTTGCATTTTTTATTAAAATGTACCGAAATTTCTAACATTTTTCATTCTGTTTTTAATAAAACTAAGCTTAAGACACTAAGTTGTTGATTGTTAGCCTTTGCCAGATTCGCCGATTGAGGGGTCATTGGCAGCGCACAAATTCCCAATGCCGTGATAAAAGAATTACCATAGTAATATGGGAACTGAGTATATGTACATGTACTGGGAGAAAGTGAGGAAAGTTTGTTCAAAATTGTCCTTACACAAAAATCTGCAGTTAAAAGAACCCTTTCAGACTGTTACTCAAAGTAAGAATGACTGAGAAAATAGACAATCCTTTTAGGATCATAATGTTCTAGGACCTATAGTGTCAGACAAATTAATAGAGAGAGAACTTGAAGAAGTTCAGCAACTGAAATTGCTAACAAATTAATGTTTCCTGTGTACAGTACCTGTACATCTACATTCTCTGACACAATTTTAGAAATGCAGTGCCAACAGAAGAAAAAGGAGTCTTCAGAGCTGATGTGCTGAAAGCAAAAAAGCGAGCAAAAACATCAGAGGTGACCTAGCAGTATTGAAGTTCCATAAGAGGCCTTCCAAAATGATTTCACATTGTCCCTTTCAAGTGCTCAGGAAACCCCTGCCAAAGCAAAGTTTGGCCGAAGTGGGAAAGTAATTCTCCTACCAGCAAAATTGGGAAATGTGAACTGCACCATACATGTAACTTGTCAACTTTGGTATTTCTGGAGATTTGTTTGAATGACGCCCTCAGGAGACCTCAGTGTATCCATTTTTTTTGTTCTGTGTGCTTGTTGATGGGTTGAGCTGTTTGTTTTATGTGCTCAGTATCTAGAAGGAAGGTTTTTGTTTCGCTTTTTAGAAAGACAGGAAGATTGACAAGAAACCCAAATGAGGAACATACAGGTCTTGTTGCTTGTGCTGGCTGTCTCTGTTTGCTACTCTGCTGCTGCACCAAGTGCGAGGGATGATAAAAGCGTCCACTGGGCATTGCTGGTAGCTGGCTCTAGTGGTTGGGGCAACTACAGACATCAGGTACATGTAGTGTAGGGCACAAGCACACAGTACATGTACATTGGGCGAGTAGTCACATTTTTAATAAGGTTCTCGTAATGGTTACAGATATTTTCTGTATCACTTGAACTCCCCCAAAACTTGTCCAGTTTTGTGTTTGACGAGTGTTTGTTTTCCTTTCCAATTGAAAGAGTGGATGGAAAAACAAATTGGTCTCATGGCATGATTTGACTGAAGTAAACTCTGTTTATTTAAGAGGTGCAAATCCTACTTTCAGGAGGCCAAAATGTCATTTCAAAAGTGTATCTTTGTGCGAGAGTGTCCATTAAATCCTCTCCGTGTTGTGTTTCACTTTCAAAAATGTATGGCTTTGAAATCAGACGAGCTGGCTAGATGCATTGCATGTAAACTGGTTGGATCTCACATATTTTTTCTGTGCTGGTTACTGTTTATCCAACAGGCTGATGTTTGCCATGCCTACCAGGTCCTGCATAACCATGGCATTCCAGATGAGAACATTGTGGTCATGATGTACGATGACATTGCCCGCAATGAAAAGTAAGTTGTGTGCAAACCATTGTAGTTGATATTTAATGGTATCACTGTTCAGACTGTTTAAACGTGGACGTGTTTGCCATCATAGAGATGTCCGAATTTGCTAGTCATAAACTGAACAGTTGATGACCCTGATAAGAGCGAATTGTCCTGCATGTCAAAGTTTGTATCTGATACTTCAGGTAGCCAATAGTTCAGTGCTGTACTTTCTAGTAAGATTTTTGTGTTCTGTTTTTGTAGCAATCCTCATAAGGGTGTAATCATCAACAGACCCAAGGGACCAAATGTGTACACCGGGGTGCCTAAGGACTACACTGGAGAAGTATGTAGTATTTCATGTACCATCAAGTTGGAAGTCACAAATAGTCTATCTTAACTACATTTTTGTGACTCCCGCATAGCAGAATATGCCCAATCTGCGTGGTCAATTCAGCTGTCCTGTACTTCCCAAGTTACTAAAGCAGTCTTGAGTAAAACATTATGTTAAGTTCTGAACTGATAGGTACCGTATACTAAATATCATATTGAAAGTTTTCACTGATGCACACCTGCAATGTATGCTATGAGGTACATGTAGTTTTAACAAAATGGGTTACATCTGATATACAAATATCCATTTATTCCCCTTTTTGCAATTTTAATGCTGAAATTTAAAGTTTAAAGTAGAAAACTTATCTAAAGTGAAACTATTTACATGTACGTGTCTTTACTTGGGCATGAATTTTGCTATGCATACAGTTTACAGATATACATGTAGTGGTACGTCAGGGAATATTGCTTCTTATGTGGTACTGAGCAGAAGACATTTTTTGAAATTCTTTAAGCGATGACAAGTTCTTTGTTTAATGACCATTGTTTTCTTTGGGTGACTGTAGCAAGTGACTCCCAAGAACTTTCTGGCAATTCTCCAAGGGGAAAAGGCTGCAATGCAAGGCATTGGCAGTGGCAAGGTCATCGCCAGGTAAGTGGATGAAAAAAACAAGGACATCTGTCACCCCATCAACCGGTGTGGGTGTGAAGCGCAAAGCTGTTAATGGTGTGAATTGAAAATTGGGGGCTCAAGATGCTCTGCTTTGTGATCCGAGGCAGTTTCTGACCATGTTACCCAGTTTTTTGAGGATTTTTTTACATCATTTTCAAGTTAGGAGGCACATCATTTGCTATTATGAACTGTAATATTAAAATTTAAGTGTACAATTTTTATCTTACTACAAAAAAGTGTGCATGGAGGTTGGGAAACATTCCCCCTCCCTGTCCGCAACTGATCAAGTCCATGTTGAAGAAACTACAAATATGCACAGTTTGACAGGTGGGAGAAAACCCTGAATAAATCCACAGAATGGGGTAGGGGCTGAAACTTAGCTGACATACTGACCCGGGTGGGATTTGAACCGCGGTCATAAGGTGAAACTGAAGGTGAGGAAAGTACCAGCGTGCCAAGCTGACTTGCTTGCACTGCCTATATTCTGATAACGCACCAAGTGCCCACATGTGTATCTGTGACTTTGTACATTTTTATATGAAATTGCTTGCACAAAAAAGGAGTGTCTCATCATATTGAATGGTTTGAATGTTCCATTCGGAACGCCTTGTTTTCGTTCCAGAACAGGCAACCTTCCACAGGGAATATAGCATTCCCATTGGAAAGCTACCTCAGAATGGTCTATGCACAAAGTTCTATGGAACACTAGTGTTCCCGTGGGAAAGGTCCAATAGAGCTTGAATGTTCCCAATGTTTGAGACACTCCGTAACCAGCGTCATAACTATATGCGTGCAAATCGTGCATAAAAAGGATACCATTAATTGGATGCCATTAAAACGTAGCACCTACTCATGCTCAGACAAGGAGGCCATGAGTGGTAACACTACTGCATCAAGTTTTTTTGCACTCAGTGTTTTTTTCCTTGTTTGAATTTTAGAGAATAGCATATTTGTATTGTGTTTTTTTTTGTAAACAATATTGATTCTTTCATTTGCAGTGGACCAAATGATAATGTCTTTGTCTTCTTCTCTGATCACGGAGCCACAGACCTGATCGCATTCCCTTCCTCCACGGTGAGCATACTCAGCCAAATCAAGCAGGGGAAATAAAAGTCACCAAAGAAACAACTTCCAGGAAAAACATTAGATAGGAGAGAGGATAGGTTACTGATATGGTTAGTGCACTGGACAAGTCCCTAGTTTGTGTGGTCTTGTGACATATACAACTCATAAGTTGCTACTGATGCAGCTCAACTAAAGTTATTATGCACACGCATGCTTGTAATGTAAACCTCTGTGGTAAGCTGCTTCAGATGATGGGGAATCTTCCTCTCACAAGCAGAAAGGATGTTGCCTACTTCCATTCCAGAAGGTTGGCAGCCAGTAGTGTCGTCATTCAGGTTACTTTCGTGATGTCTAAGATGCATAACGTGTGATACCAGACAATGCATAAACCCCAGTCTGTATGCACAGACAAGGTTTACAGGTTAATGCATTGAGCGCGCTTTGACTCAGTCAGCCGTGTGAATCAGTATTCATGGTGTTTAACTCTGTTGCAGAATTTGGCCACTGTATCTTGCCTTTTTGGATTGCCAAAATTTCAGCCAGAAATAATGCTGTATGTAATTCAAATGTCTTTTGTGAAACAGGCTGTGTAGATTTCCAGCTTGTGCATGATTTTATAGCCTTCAACAATTGAACCAGTATCATATTTCATTTTGACAAATATTTTAATGTTGCATAATAACTTCTGATTGATGGTGAATTTGACATTGAGTTTTCTGGTGATTTTAGCTCTCCGAAAAGGAATTGCAAGGTGCTTTGGAGAAGATGGCAGCTGCAAAGAAATTCAAAAAGGTATTTGATATTTGAGTGTAATGTTGTGCAAAACCAACCCGAAACCGAAACCTGCTCGACACAAAACCGACTTTGGATCGAGTCAGATCGGTTTTGCACTTGTGGTTTTTGGTCAGGCCAGGCCGGTTAAGCCATATTGTAAGAAAACCAAAATAAACCAACGATAACCGAAAAACTGAAACGGGAAGTTCACGTGACGAAATTACTTTTTAGAGCTTCAGATTACATAGCCAATTCATATGTTATTAGCGGCAGTGACGCAGCATATCAAAATAAAAAAGTGAACATGAACAGTAATACTGTTCTGAGTAGATCAGAAACATGGTCACGCACAGCTGCACACAGACTTCAAGCCAGTTCAGCCAACTATGCATTTTTCACACCAAGATTTTACTTTCGGGAAAAATGAGGCAGATAAAACAGACAAAGTTACATACGGGAATGTAGTAACTGATTCTGCATACTGCGTATAAATTTTGTTCCATGCAATTGAAAAGAGGATCACAAATATTGTTCAACCAAAACTCTGAATACACGAAACGTGAAAATACGTTGCTGTCCAAACTTTTTCGAAAGGGTTATTTCAAAACATGGCGATCTCTTAATATTTCTTGGTACCCGCAATACTCTTGCACGCATACGATGAAATATCATGAAATGCGCAGTTGGAATACCAAATATTGTGCATGGTTTGCAGACAAGCAGGAACTTTATATTATTATTGTTCAGGCACAAAACGGATACAATTTGTTTGAAATAAAGGATGATTAGCCCAAACCAGATGTTTGGATTTTTTTTGGATTCGGTTACGTTTTGTTGTTTCAGGTCGGTTTTTCCCTGATTTCTTGTTAGTTCGGGTCGGTTTGGAGAGCTCAGATTGGTTTCAGTTCGGATTTGGTTTTAACCCTAACAGTCCTCAGTCCTCCAACAGGCGAAGGACTGAGGACTGTTAGGGTTAATACGTCTTTAATGTTTCGGGTCGGTTTGGCCTGTACAACCCAATCCGATGCACATCATTATTTAAAGGTTCAATGCTCATAATGTGGCAATAGGCATCAAAATTCAGTTACTGCTGCAATTTGCTTGCTGAATGCAGTGACCCAATATCTGCAAATCAAAACAGAGGGTCTGACAATTCGATCCTACCAGAATCTTCCTCAAAAGCAAAATGATTATTCACTGGCAGATGTGGTGTGCAGTCACTTATTCTGTAAATAAGAAATAAATCCCTGTCAAAAATATTTTGTGGTATGTAAGATGTCACACAGCCATAGAAACATTACTGATATGCCATTTAGGTGATGGAAATCAAGAGTACAGGCTTGTCAGTGAGCATGAGATGAATAAACAGGTGTTGAGGAACATTTAATATGCAATTTCCTGTGTGCATGGCATTAGAATTTACAAATTCTATTTTCTTAACACTGGTATCTTGGCACACGTGCATTACTGGAGCCTTGTCGCAAAGAGCAGAGGGTAAGTAATCTTTTTTTGAAGGACACCACATTTCCCTTTTTTCTTCCACGTTCAGTTGGTGTTCTACCTGGAGGCCTGCGAGTCAGGGTCGATGTTTGACAGCTACAAGATTGATAACATCTACACGACCACTGCCTCAAGTCCGGACGAATCGTCGTATGCTTGCTACTTTGACCAAGATCTGGAAACATACCTCGGAGATGTGTACAGCGTGAAGTGGATGGAGAACTCTGATAAAGTATGTCAGTAGACACCCTTTGTACGGACTAGGGTTGTACATGTTTATGCGTACACAGTAGAGAAATAAAAAATGCACAATAAAGCTCCTTGACTGTCACTCTTCATTTTTGATGACAAAACCTGCAAATTTCTTTAAAAGCCTTTCTTCTGAGTGGGACAAATTTTGTGTAGACTTTCAAAAGTAATGAGAATCTTTTTGGTATTAATATAGCTCTTTCAGTATTTTCTAAAACTGGTCATTTCTCTGTCCCACCTGGCCCGCTTTGCTTATGATTGCAAATTCAAGAGGGCATTAAAAACATGCAATCGATATTCAGCTCAATTTTTTGTGCGTACAATATCTAATTATTATTGTTCATTGGAAGTTAAAAGAAGATGGGAGTTTTCAATTCCTAGAAAATACTTTCAACGGATGCATGAGGTCGCTTTTTTGATGTTGTCATACGACAAAGTTCTTGTCGAAAAAGCATTAAACTGAACTAAAAAATTCACCCACCAACTACTTTTGTCTAAAAAAGCTGTTTAGTATTGAAGCCAAGTACGTGTATAAAGTGGAACTTATATGAGGTAACTCCAGAAAGGTGTCTTGGTTCCATTTATGTTATACCATGCCAGTGGGTTCCTGGAATCACAAATAGATCACGTGAATGATTACAGTCTTAACAGTTACAAAAGCTAAATTGTGGTGCGTGCAGTGTGCACTTGGGAGATTCATTATGTGGTCCGCTTTCATTTTTGTAGGCCGACTTCAGCATAGAAACTCTCTTGCAGCAGTTCAAAATTGTGAAGACAGAGACCAACACCAGCCACGTCCACAAATACGGGGATATGTCGTTCGATAAGGACCATCTTGGGGAGTACCAAGGGAAAGGCCCAAAGATTGAACTGGACAAGAGTGCAAAGCTAACACCGGTGCCAGTAAGTATGGATTTACACGTGCATTTAACAAATTCAGTGTCTGTTATCTGTACTTTAACTTGTGCTCTGTCCTTGCCTGGCTCAACAGTGTCATCCCACACCAACTGTAATGTTAATTTTCCAATCCTATCCAATTTGAGTTAAAGATTATTGTGGCTGTCCCCCATTTCCACACATATATTGTTCCTTGCTCCACAGCTGGATGCTGTGCCAAGCCCAGAGGTTCCCATGGCGATCTTGCATCGCCGTTTAATGGCTGCTCGGGATCCACGGAAACGCAGCGAGATACTGAAAGAGATCACTACCCTTGGACAGGTCAGAACCGAGACAACTTCCTCGTTTTGCCCCAGGCACAGAATTGCTTTTGTTGGTCGAAAATCCCTACTCGTTGAAATGAAATGGTACTGTGGTGACTTTTTATACTTGAGACATGGCATATGCACAGATTTGCTATTCTAGCACCTCGCCCACAGATTCTGTATTTTGAATGGCTGAGAGCTTGTCCCATGGCATTCACTGTTTCTGCTATCTTGATGTTCATGGCCCAAAGGACTATACCCATAGCAACCAAAGCACTGTGGATGTACGTAACAGCCAATGAATGGTACACATACAACGACTGGTATTGTATGTTAATGGATACAGACCTGCTAACATGCCGTACTCCTTCCAGAGGTCAGGCATTACCACACAATAGATTAAAAATTGAAATGAACTGAAGGCTCATTAAATACCTTTTAATATATTGTGTGGTAATGCCTGACCTCAGGAAGGAGTACGGTTAAGTTGGCAGGCCTGTACGTATTGTGTGCACGTTGCGTGCATTCCAAAGTGCTAAGGGTCAGAACTCGGTTCAAACATTTTCTGAAGAGGTAGTATGGAAAAGTGCTTATAAATTTCCAACACATTTCTTGTATCAGGAGACGAACATTTTAATTGTACATGTATTTGGATCAAAGTAATCATTGCTTAAATCAAGCGTGATCTGTGGGAGAGGTGTTACAAAACAAATATTGACTGCTGCATCTCATATTGTAGTAAACTAGCCACCCTCAGTGATCATGGAGCATTCCATTTTCCTCTCCGGCTTCGTTTTGGGATCACCTCCAAAGGCTAGTTTTACTATACCACTTGAAGCAGGAAATCCTGACTACTCACACATTGTGTGATGCTTTGAATATTCACCCTCCACAGTCCCAACAAGCAATGGTGTCGGTTCTGCAAGCCACTGTCAAGACCGTCCTGAACGACAATGGAGACCGGTTTGATCAGGTCATGACCCGGCATGGTGTCCAGGTCACTAACTGGGACTGCTACAAGACTGCCGTCGACCACTTCTCGGAGAAGTGCTTCCCCTTCAAAAAGGTCAGTTTTAATGAACTCAGGGTTCCTTCCTAAGAGCTTTGTAAATTTCAAGAGCGCTTACACTCCGTGCAGAAGTGCAGCGTGCTGGGTGTATCCATGGTGTGCACAATTCTGTGGGCTGTATTCACAAAATGGTCATTTTGGATCGTGCCCCCTGAATCCTCTAAATTTATTGATCACTCAGAAATGTGAAGGAGCCTGACTATTTTGCCACTGTATTTAGTTGGATAAACATGTAGCTTTGTGATGAGATCTTATTCTGTGTGGAGTCTTTTTAAAACTAGGTTTGATCTTGTCCAGGTTGGTTAGCTGGACAAACTGTGACATTGCTTTATCCTGTTTGCCATGGATTAGTGTGTCGTTGCTGTTGGACATCACTTCAAGCTAATTCACCTCAGATTATTTTTTTGGGAACAAACAATGCTTTCACGGAACTTTATGCCTTAAGGATAGAGGTCACTTGCTGTAAAAAGTACATGTAATTGCATAAGGCGTTAGTGGCTGTGTACTGAAAGGCACTGGACATGTTTGCAGTTGCAGATCCAGTCTGCACAACTTACATAACACAGGCACCTGTATTGTGCACAAAGGCACATAAACATGAATAGGTCTCTGTTCTTAAAACATTTCGTGATGGCTCAAATATGACAGGATCTTAGCCAACATTAAGGGTGTCCATGTCGTCATGTAAGTTTGGTACGTTGTTCAGAAGGACAAGTGTTGTTATTGAGTATCTCACACGATGCATTACCACTCCTACAGCATGACTATGCTCTGTCGCTGATGTACATCTTGGCCAACCTGTGCGAGGAACAAGTGCCAACACAGTTGTAAGTGGAGACACTTTTTATGTGAAAATCCTGTTATGTAAATATCCATAGACAATTTCATTAGATACTCTCCACAAATTTAGGTCCCTGTTGAGTAAAGTTTCAAATTTGTAATCCTGGAGTAAATTTCCTGTGCCCAGGTCATCCTGTCTCTCGAACTTTCTTCAGATGCTTGTTTCAAAATGTGATTAAAATGCAAATCCATATCTTTGGCTGTCATTCTGTTTCTTTAATGAAACTGTGACAGTCTGCTACTGGGGCCTTTAATTATATGTTTTTGTTTTAATTAACAATTGCACATCATAAGCTGTATGGCATAGTCCCCACCGTGATTACCCCTGACACAAACCCAATGAGCACATGCTTGCAGACAGTTTTAAAGACACTGCAGTTTCATGTTTAAAAGTGGAGCAGGATGTTTCAAGCACACGTGGAGACCATTTCTTTTCTTGGTACCTTGTAAAGTCACAATTTTGACCCCAACCTCACAATATGAGTCTCAAGTTGCCAAAACCACTTTGGAGTTATAGGCCTTTGAAAGAATCTTGCGCAGTGTAAATCACCAGGAACCCTCAACATTTTTACCCATGTAACGGTCATTTTCAGCGGATGCCAAACTGAGTGAAAGAAAGAGCTCAGTTTGCTCTTCCTAATGCAAACTGATACCGAATTACTTTTTAAAAAAATGACCCCGAGACTCATTTTGTCCGCTCCGGTCACAACTGGCAGGCTCATGGTTCATATACAGTTTACATGTACACATGCAGTCACCTGCTGGTTTTGGACGTTACAATGTGTAGTCTAAATGCATTATGATTTGCAGTTTTGGCTGTTCAGATTCAAGCAGTTGGAGACTCGGTGAGTTGTCCAACATTCTGAATGATGATACCTGGTCTGTTCTGATTATTGAGATTATTGAAATGATACTCTCTTTGTCTTTCTTTCCATAGGATCACCACTGCCCTGGATATGCAGTGCAAGTAAGAGCTCAGACCAGAAAGCCTGTGTTTGTGCCAGAGCCATTGATTTGACTTCGTGTACTCGCCCAAGGGATAATGAAGGCTAATCGAGAGATGGAAGATCTTAAGCTAAGATCAAGTACTGAAATAATCATTTTTTTTTTTACATTTTGTAATTTTGCTGTGACTAAAATGTTATTCAATGCCTCATATTATTTGGGGGTGTGATAAGGAAATTCCAATGAATGTATGAATGTGTTGAATGTGTAGAATTCAAGGTAGAAGTATTTTAAATGCTCGTGTATTCCGCTTTCCTGTGTGTAAACACATTCTTCAGTTTTGTACCAGGGCTCCTATGCATCATCCAATACTTGGTATTCTGCAGTTATATCCGAGTTGCTTAGTTTTCATGTTGTGGTTGGTTTGTTTGCACAATGTATTGTGGCCAAAGGGTCTATAGATTGCACAATGTATTTTGGTGAAAGGTTTATGGTAATCTTTAATGTTTCCCACTATGTAGAGTTTATATGGATTTTATTTTTGTAGTTTCGTATATTCTGCTACTCATGCACACGTACTAGTATAAAAAAAAAACAAAATAGAATTCTGCCATTTTTAAGTCAAAGTAGCTTTCTGCAATTCCAGAGTTGCTTTTTTTCAAAGTAATTTCCAACTTCCTGACTCCGAGTATCTCTCTCCCCGGTGGTGTAGCAAAACATGACTCTGTGCTCAGGTATGTAAATTGTGTGAGCCAGCAAGATTGTAGCCCTCTTTATACAGAACCTGTGTAGTTTTCCTCCCATTATTTGGTTTGTAGAGGCAGACCAATATGTAGAAGCTGTCTCAACACAGTCATGTTCATTTCTTGATTCACTCCAAAATTCAGGGAAACTGTCAAGAGGTATGTATTTCTTTACAAAATAAACTAACTGGCTTTGCAAGCATTCCATGTTTGTGTTTTTGTCTTAGCAAAAATGTTTGCACTGCTGATAATGGACAGGAAAAAAGTAGCAGACCAGTGTGGTTATTATTGTGATTTCTGTTTGCCTGAAAAAGAAATCCACCTTGAAAAAACAAAAGCTTTCTCTTTGAGCAGCTTTGATAGAGATCTTACGGCAAATCCCACTGAGCCTGTGAATGACCAGGAGGTCTCTCCGTAGTAATAAAAATAGTTCAAATTTCCAAACCCAACCGGCCTTTCCAGCTCTGCATGAAAAGTAACACAGAAGCCAGTGTCCAAATGCTTCTCAGTAACAAATGGTGTGCAGAATCTTGGCTGGACGTGGCATATACTTTGGCAGGGCTCAGGGTAACAACACAATTTATCAGACACACTGTTATTACTACAATACCATGCATGAAGTTCCATCACTTTAAGATAAAAGAACAGCAAAGATTTAAATATCTTTTTGTTTACCAGAAACTTTCCTTGAGCAAGTGTATAGAATTATTGGCGGTCACTGATGTCCATGGCTTGGTTTCTGAGCTGTTTAGATGAAGAGTTAAATACAAACAATACAAAGTCACACACTCCTGTCGAGAATTCTGTAGGAATACCACTGATTGGTTAATACTTTTATTAGTTTGATACAAACATGAAATACATAGGCAACTGTCGAATAACTTAAAAACGTTTTTGTACAATGATGAACACATACCATACATGTGCACACACAAAACAGGACAAAACAAAGGGGGAGGGGGATGAACTCAAGTTCAGTCTGAGACTGAGCAGTTTTTTGGTCATTTTGACAAGTCTTGACAACCTCACAATTACAAGGGCTATTTTATGGCAGCAAGCATGCAAAGCTGGATTTAAGTTCCAGACATGAGTGGCTCTCTCTTTCAGCTATCTTGGAAGCGTTGCTTTGTTAATTCCAGTAAGTAACGACAAACGCGTGACCGGTCCAACAAACCACATTTACATGTCATTCCTAGTGTTGATCCTTCATATTGTGTAGCTAAGAAAGGCTGGAGAAATTTATGAAAAATTAAAAACATTTGCTTGCAACCCAAACTCTTTGTTTCCTTGACTGTTCCTCTTCATTCTGCAATGGATAATCCTGAACCCAACAAATCCTCCAGAACTATTTTTGGAAAGGGGGGAACTCTGCGTTCTTCCCTGTCCACACATGGACGGCAAAGGTATGCTTTTGTGGAACAAACACATATCTCCAAGATAGCTGCCAAAGCATCAAGACCACCTAGAACTACGTAGTGTTGAAATGTCAAGCCAACTGAGCAATTCTGGGCAGTATAATTATTTCGTGTTCCCAGATGATCACTTATGCCAGGCTTGTAAGTACAGAGGTTTGCTGTAGCACCATACAAGGATATCTCTTTCTGAGCATATGTGGTTCTCAGAAGAACCGGAGGGTACTCAACATTTTGGACAATATGCTCTGTCCATAGTCAGTGCCCTCTGGTTCTTCTCAGAACCACAAATGCTCTTCTAAGAACCAAACATGCTCTTCTAAGAACCACACATGCTCAAAAAGAGATATCCTCACATGGTGCTACAGCACAGCTCTATACTTGCTATCTTCACCATGGAAAGCTTCAAAGCTCATCTTATGCCGTGCTTTTCGTGAAAATTTGAGCTTGTCTTTTCTCCCAGCTGTCTGTTCACCACTCTTGCACTGTTCTACCACTCCCAACAAAAGGTTTTTTATTTACACATACAAATGCAAAGAAAGTATTTGATAACAAGATTATCTTCAAAGAGAAATATTCAAATGAATCATACAGTTAACATATCACACATACATGTTCTTGGAACAGAAAGAAATATCACTTTTCAATTCAATACACCACTTATAGAATACAGATTTGGGATTTTAAAAAAGTCTCAAACTTTTCCACATCGTGGAAGGTAACTCCCGAAAATGTGGAAATGGAAAAATAGGCATTCTTTGGCCAAAAATCTGTGCATCAGTTTTGTGAATACTCCAAAAAAATGTACAACTCTTTCTTTCCATTTGCTAAGTCTGAACAGGAATGCTACGCTATTTTATCAGTTGTCGGTGACAGACACAAATGGTGTCTTTCTTTTCCATAGTCTGTGGAGTTGGTCAACATGGAAGTCCACACAGTGGGCTGCTACCCTACAACCACTATTATGTACACCGGTAACAGGCTGCATGTTTCTGGTCTTTTTTTAATCAGCTGAAGCCACAACAAAACAAACGGCCATTCGCCTTATCCATATCGAAGTGTGATCAAGCGCATGTAGATAGTCATTACCAAATAAGGTCAACTAAGATTTGAAAGAAAAGATGAAAAAATGAAATTCCTGTCATTTCACGTGAGACAGCCGGAAGACACAAATAATCAGCAGTGCAATTTAAATATGTGATAAAACCTGTTGTTTGTGGTGGAATGCAACCATAAAGTGGCTGTATCTGAGGTAAAAAAAAACCCATTACTTGGTCGAGGACACTGCCTAAAAAATACAGAGGAAAGTTTGTCCAATTGTGTAAGTGTCATCTTCCACAAAAGTGCTATCGACATATTAGTTATCCCACAAGCATGAATGGAACACAGAATAATGTAGCACATGGTATGTGGGTATACATATTGCACAGTCAGCTGCCATGGATTGACCAATCAAGATCAAGAAATCAACTTTGTTGGAAAGATAAAGGGCCCATGTCAATCTTGTGGCTACTATCTCAACTGAAAAGTCAACTACATGTGAAAACTACAAAACTGTTGTTGCCACAAACCTTCCATCACTCTGTTAAAGCCTTGTTTCCACACAGTTGTAGAGACTGCTGCGAACACACAAGATGTTAAGGCAGGCACTGTTGTGGAAGAGAGGGTGTGTGTGACCATTGGACCAAACACTGGAATTAAAACAGCAAGTGTATAGGCCCACTCTATTCTGACAACTCCAAACAACTCGGATAGTCGGCCTGGCTGCTGATCCAGGCTTGGCCAACTATCAGTGTGCGTGTTGTTGTCAGTCAGTCACGGTGAAGCATTTCATACATCGGGGTAGTATCGAGGAATGTTCGGGAAAGTTGTCTGCATCTCTGTACGTTGATATGGAAACTGGGCTTTACTGGACAAAAACAAAGATAAAAACACTGGCAACTTGTCTGTACACTCTAGTTTTTAACTACAAAGAGTGCTTCTGGAAGGTAATCATTTCAACTGTTTAAAAGATTTTGTTCCACTTCCGCCATCAGCAAAATACGTGCACAGTTTACGTCCATCTTGATCCAACCAAAAACTACGTGCAGTCCCACATATTCTTCTTCATCACCATGCTGTTTCTGTTGTGAAATGCTCCATCAAGAAAAAGCGAGCTATAAGAGAGTTTGGGATGTCTGTTGCCTCCAGAGTGCGTCACTACTGGGTGACTTGGTCAAACTAAGCCCACAAAGAAGTGGCAAGGGACGCTTGTTTTGCACCTCGACTGTTTTTGGATGCAAGTGCTGGAATAAAGCACCCCCTACTGTCGGGACACACAAAAGACCCATCTCGGCAACTGTATCCCCTCAAAGAAATATGTCCCAGTGAGCCTTGATTAAAAACTGTCAAGGCTTTCCAGACTCTCCTGTGGAGGATGTACATGCTTGCCTCTTTCACCACTGGTTTTATTGGATTTGGAAGCACACGTAACATCTGGCAAGCCCAGGCAGGCAGACCCAGGCAGACCGTGTGTAGCAATGAGCTTGTTTGTAGTCCACACACTGTCATTACAGCAAATCCTACCTACTCAGTGGGGCCTTTGAGAGAGGCAAAAAAGATGACAGTACAGTGATCAGTCAAGTACTACATTGTTTCTGAGTAGTCAATATTTGAGGCAGTTGACTTCATTTTGAACTTTGGCCGATACACTCGCAGGCCCAACTTGTCTTGTTCCAAAATAGAGCTTCTTACTCAAAAAACGATTTTGTAACTGGGGGCCAGTACATCGTAAAGTAAATCCATGATGAGGTGGTGAATGGAATTTACAGAGTTTACGAGCAGACATGAGACTTAAAATTTACCTAGGCAACAAAACACAGAAAGACCAAAAAAGAGGAGGAAATTGCATTCACATGCACAATGCTCACCAACTCTACTATATCACATACATATTCACTAGACACCAAATTGCAGCCACCTTAATGTACACCGCTACAACTGAATTAATAGATCTCACTTCCGACTGACTCGGTAGATAACAGGTACCTGATCATGCCGATCGTGTCAGTTTGTCATTATCAACACCAAGGAAATTCCTAAAGCCACCCTTTCCTTCTAATGTTAAATCTGTACAACATTGCAAGTACATCTTCCTCCATTGTTTCATGCAACTCCGAAGAAATTCCATGAAAGGACGCGGAGACCGCTGCAAGAATTCTTTACGGCTTCCATAGAAATTGCTTCCAACACAATTTTTCCAAAGAAAAAACAGGAATTATTTACACACATGCGCAAATCTTTTGTTTACGCAAAAAAAAGTCTGCGTATTAAAAAAAAAAAGAAACTTGCATTGCATTAAACTCTAAACACCATTCTTATCAGGTCAATTTACAGGATCATAAATTTACAAGGTCATCTCTACAGGTCACAATCCAGGTCAGAATGAACCTGACCTCTGACATCATGTGCATGTTATTACGAGTCTTTCAAAAGGCTCACCAGCTCTATCACTCTGAAACACAAAAGATTTACTCGATCACTCTTGAAATGTAAATATTAAATGAGCAAGTGTTTTGAAGGTCATTCAGTCTGTTGAAGATGTCTTGCACAATGAACGTTGACTATATGCCTTTCCATTTCGCCGTGAACATTTATCTACCCTTTGTGACAGTGTAAACCCTGTTTTTTTTAATTTATGGCAAGCCAAATATGTGTTAAGTTTCTTATCTGAAAATATTCCAATACATGAGAGAAAAATTAAGACATTGGACTGACGACCTGAATAAAAATAAGGAAATAAAGCAGCAGTGTGATTTTTTTAAAAACCCTTTTGCAGGAGATGCTTACAAAAAGAATGTTGGTCATTGTTTTGTACAGAAGAGTTCGTTAACACCAAGTTTTTACTTACAAATCTTACAGATTTAAATAATATGTACATTGTTGTTGTCTAACAATTGGCCGGTGACTTATTTGGAGTCGATTAAACAAAAGACTGGGGAATGAGCCAGCATCAAGACTTCTACAGGAAAATCAAACAAGTACAGTTGGTTTTACAACAAAATTTACCAACTGCTTCAGCAGAAATAAGGTAACATTGTCAGTCTTGTTTTTTCATTTTGGCATATACTGTACAAGGCCTTTCATAAAATATGACGGATACAGCACAACTCTTTTCCATTTTCATTATGTGCTTCCTCTTGTCCTCACACAGCGGGCAGTTGCCAGAAACAGCGTTTCTTTAGCAGCGAGCAGCTGGACTCTGCTGGATTCTAACAGGAGAACAAAGCCGACGGTCTGGGGCAAGGGAATGTAAACCCCAACTCGAGCCTGGATACTGAAGTGCCTTGGAGGATGGAGCAGAGCGACAGCTTATCGGACTGACAAGGCACTGTGCTCCCTGCCGTCTTTGACTGACAACAGTGGACCACTTCAGTTTTTTCCTTTATTTCAACACTTCCGTGGAATATGACAGGAAAAGCTTTTTCGTTGACAGTTCTGATGAGTCCTCGCATCTGCACACACACTTGGCACATTATTTGAGGTGACCACCGGTGCCAAGCAGAGAGTTTACAGCGGTACCCTTATTTCTCCTATCCGGTTGAAACCGCAACATGCTGGAGACTTCATTATATGGCAGTCATCTTGGAGGAGGGCGTGGTGGCCGGCTTGGGCTTGCCTACCCTCTCCCGGCTCACCTCCCCCATCTTGGGCCGGCCGTTGCTGCCGTTGGCGGCGGCGGGCTGGGCCGGCTGGCTCTGCCGCTTCCGGTTCCGCTTCATTTTGGCCACGTCCTCGCCAAACATGTCCCCCGTCCTCAGGGCAGAGATCAGGTCGTCGAATTCACCCTCGCCACCCTGCTTCCGGCCGTTCTGATTCTCCTTCTTGCTTGCTTTCCGTTTGCGTTCCCGTGCTACCCTCTGTGAATCAAAAATAGCAAACAGAGAAGCAACCATTACAGACTGCAACAATATGATTCGTGCCAATGACAAAAACATGGCCACGTTCTGGCATTGTAAGGCTTAACAAAAAAACTGCTGGCTTTCCAGCTTCAAGACCCAACTAAGACAATCAAGCAGAAATGAAATCATTTCAATAATTAAATTAATTTGAAAAAACTTATGGTACCAAACCAAGAGTCAGTTAATGTGATCTTTCATTTCACTTTTTAAACTGGTTGGTTTGAAAAAGGTTGGCTTGCTCTGGTGTTTGTTTCTAAACTGCTCTACCACTAATTACACAATGCTGATAGGTAATATCAACGTGTAGCCAATCTGACAGTCATTTGTTTACTGCTGCAATGAGTGCTCACAAGTAAATTGTTTGGCTATAATTGCATCCTCAACATTAATTGCTCAACAGTCTGAACCAACAGGAGTTTGGCTCACCTACCCCCAATTCATTTTTTTTAATGCATTGGGAGAAACAACCATTTGCGTGGCTTCACTGACTTTATTGCGGTTGAATCCTGTTAGTACAGCTTGTGAAATAATGTCCAATTATTATACGATAAATAAAATTGAAGTGGGAAGCACAAAAGTTGAGAGAAACGAAAACTCAATGTACAGAATTCCACAAGGCTGTCTAAGAGGTGTGGATAGCTCACAAATGGCAACAGGTGAATTTCAAGCCAGCATATTGTGACCTCATCAGCCAGCACTCATCCCCCCCCACCCACCTCCGCCTCGATGCGTGCCCGCTTTTCTTCCTCTTCCTGCTTCTTGCGCATGTTCTCGTTGTCGATCTTCGCCTCGATGAAAGATTGGACAAAGGCGTCGAAGGTGCTGAAGAATTCCTCTGCCGTCATCTTGGCCGGGTCCTCCCCAAACTGTTTGATGCACTTGGTGATCTGCCAAAATGACAAGAAGATGGGACACGTTTGGTGTCAGCACGGAGAGAGCATGTCATGAATTCCCAACAAAAAGAATATGTACATGTATACCATTCAGCCAAAGGCAAGCACTGTTGAAAACTAAGCTCCAACACTGTTAACACTTCAGCACTTGAGAATGAAAATGAGTAATGGAGCAGATTCCAACAACTCTTATTGGGAGTAATTATTCGTGCTGTAGTTGAGATCACCATGAGTCCTTGCAAGTCCATCACATCACCCAGTCTTACGCCAAGTCAAAAGCTACTCGAATGAACTCTTGACCAATGCAGTCCTGTCATTCTGCATCCCATTATGTGTAAACGCTCCTGGGGAGGACTTGTATGTAACTGGTCCTGAGATAGAACTCAACTCGGGGTTCCAGAAAACTGGAAACCAAATTCAATGACTTTTCCAAGGCTTTTCAGGACTGAAATATGACAATATCCTCCCTATTTTCCATGACTTTTCCGTGACCTCCCATGACAACCTTTTTTCCCCCAGAATATTCCTTGATCGCAAACTAAAGCCCTGAAGAATGATAGGGTTTTGGGGGCTTACCTTTTCCTTGGCCTGGGCCTGGAGGTCCCTGATCTTGGAGAAGCTGATGGAGGAGACCGTCTTGAAGTCACTCATGACTGAAACAAACTTGTCGCCCTTCTCCGTGCTTGGTCTATTCTTCTGAAAGTCCAGTTCCTTGGTGGGCATGAAATGTCACATCAATTATTTCCAAGTCTTCATCATAATTACAGATGTAAACGTTCGAGCTTCAACATGGGTTTGATTAACCATATGCTGCTGGGTCTAAATTGAAGTTGCACAAGATTTCCATTTTCAAAATTCTTCACAAATTCATAACTTCATCTACTGGACGCTTACACCTACATGAATGACTGCCTGGTGGCTACTCTAACCTGACAGGCAACATCTATTGACGCCCGAGTATTTCAGCAAGGCCTGCCGCCTTGTAAAGAGAGCCCAGATTGTGCGGTGTTATGTAATTTTCTTTTTTCCACTAAAATTGGCCCAGTGCACTGCTGGCATCATTTCAAATGCGGCCAAATAAGCATACAGCGGTATTGTATTGCTCATCACTGGGGCATTGGAGTGCTTTTGTCTCCGGTCGTAATCTACCCGCACTGAATGCCACAAATAGTGGTATACTGTTTCAAAACGTTGACGGATTACCTCCGCTATTAACAACTGAAAAAATTTTGGCAATTCCCAGCAGCTCGGTCTTTTGTTCCGAGTACGGTCTTTTGTTACAAGGCCCAGCTCCTTTGTCTGATTTCGGGCACTCCGGCTTTGCATATAAACCCAAGGTCTCCGGTACTAGGAACCCCGCCACGAAGTGGTTAACATATGAAAACACAACCTTCCTTTGAACCAAGTCCAGCAGTTCCAGCAACTTCTAGGCAGTATCAGTGCCAAAGAAAGAGAACACAACTTAGTCATACACGCGATAAAGAGAAGTCAAGGTACTAGGCCTTTTGCACACAGTGACAACATTGTGACTGAGCAAACTGCAAACCTCATTTTTCAATTGCGAACCAATCCCGTACCCATTCCGGCTGAGCAAAACTATCTGTAACACTGAGAGATTTTTCAAAATTTTCAACAGGGCAAATTATGAGACACTGGAACGGGAAGGTTGGGAAAGAATGATGAATCTTACAAGCCATGCACTGTTTCCAACTGTTTTTAAAACTCGTACCTTCTCCACTTCTTTAAGCCCTGCTCCGATGATGTTGATGTCTTTGTCCAACTCGCCCATACTAAAAATAACAACATAAAAAAGAAAAACAAAAAAGTCGTTCTTATTGCAAAACTATGTGTACATATTGAATGACCTGTTGAGCACAAAGGCTCCATGTTGTTATTATCTCAGTGATTTGGAATTGATTCCTCCTTTTTGTCCTCCGTTCTTTTAGGTGAAGCGTCTTTGCTTGTCTGCTTTCCATCCAATTTTAGACACACCTGTTGATCATGCTTCTTCTGATGTTTTCAATTTTACTTCCACAGAAAGATCTACAAGCTTTAAGAATAGTTCCCACGGGAAAGAGGTTTTTCACTGCATATACAAGCATGCATTCAATGACTCAATTCCACAGAGATGGAGTGAAGTCGGCCAAAAGTCATCCAGTCTTTCAAGGACAAGTTACACAAACTGTCGCTGCGGCACTCCCCTGTAACTGATGTTCCTTTGTCCCCTATGTAATTTCACTAATACTTGATTCAGTCAAGAGTACAACTAGTTTGACTGTAACACGTAGGGATAATAATCACTCTGATCAGTGCTTTGACAAACCCTGACAGCAGGGCAACAGTGAGGAAAAATTACAGCAGAATATTCTGTGAGATAACGTTTGAAAGCGGTGGACAGGGTGGTGTTTTTACTCCAGTAATCACTGTCAGAGCAGTGACACAAATTCAACCTACTTGACTTTAGATGCATCCCGCAGTGATGCCAGCTCCTCTTCCAGTTTGAAGACATCTGGGAACTGTTGATAAAGAAAACAGTCAACCAACACAAATAAGTTGAAAAAAATCCAACAAAACAAAACCAAATGAAAACACACACAAAAAAGCAAAGATCAAACGTCTGACACATGTTGGCCACTTTCCTGTCTTACATGGTGAAAATGAACCTTCAGTTTTTAAAATACCTGTGGCTTCTGTACAAATTCACTGCTTGAGATTGATTCCACCCTGGCTCACTGACAGAAGATGCAGCCATATGTTAGATGCCACTCATAACTCATGATCCTGACAGGACTTCCATGTCAAAAAAAAATCTGATTCTAAAATAGGATGATTCTGAGTTTAACCTTAGAATTTTCCCACTCCAGAGGAAGAGAACTGTTCAAGTTTCACTACCAAAACACATCTTTTCATTAAATGGCAGCACTGTGCATAATCAGTCAACAATTTAACCACCTAATTACACTTTTAGGACAGATATACTCTGGAAGTCCTAAATGAGACCTTGGAAAATACTTTGCTTCTGTCTATTAAACCCTTAGTTTAAAATTCTGATTGTCCAACATGTTTAATTTTGCTAAATATTTGCTTTCCTGCATCTGCAATAGGCAGTTTTCTCCACACAAACCTGTCTTTATGCAGTGTATCTAGCGTTAAACTTGGTACTCGGAAGGTACCTGACCATAACTCTTGGGCCAAATCGATGAAAGGCACCCACCTTCTTTTCTAATACTGCTGTCAGGTAATGGAGGAGAGTGGGATGCTTGGAAAGACTGGATTTAGTGTCCAGGATTTTGTTCAGGCTGGAGATGCGGAAGCCCGATGCATTGCCCCTGGGCCCCCGGTTCATGTAGTTTCCAAAGGCCAAGATGATCTCCAGGACCTTCCGTAACCGCTTGCTGGAGCTCAGTTCCTTGGAGGCTTTGAGCACGGCTGATCAAAACACAGGGGAAAGAAGGGGGGGGAATGATTTGACAAATACATAAAGATATACAGGATCTCCAGAGGGCAACTGTTGCAAGGTCTAGTTTCTGAGATCATCCGACACAATCGCACTACAGCACACACTTGAAAACCTTTACTGGATTAAAATTTCATCTGGATCATTCATGAAATTAAAACAATAAAATAGGAGTAATTCATTTTTTCATTAACCCGAGTGAACACCAAAATGCATAAAAACTGTTTACAGATATTGGATTTCAAAATAACAATTTCCAACTTCACAAATTCTTTTATAACATCCGAATTGATTCTTTTTTAAATTGCCTCCATTTTCAGAACAAATTTCTGCAAATCCGATAATCCCAATTGAAAGGCTGACGATACCTTGACACAAAACTTTGAGACACCATCATACATATGTGTTGGCATCGCAGGCCACGTCCGAATCAGGTATTTTGTACATGCTTTGATTGGACGATAATCACACCAGGATGAATAGCCGGTGCCCATTTGGACAAGGCCTAGACCCTGGTACAGGAAAAACCAATATGGCCGCTATTGGCCACAAGCAAGTACCTTCCACTTTGGGTTTGCACTCTCCCATTCTCTCCTGGAATTTCTTCTTGAAGTACAGACACTTCAACCGCTGCTCATAATGGTTGATTCTGAGCAGAAGACAAAAAATGAAAACAAAATTGTTGACAGACATTCATGGTAGAAGGGCAGTTGATTTGTTAGGACTGTTCAAGAGATGTGACTGATAGTGTAGACCCTGCCATTTTAAAGGAAAGAGTCTGATGCACATTTGTACCAGAATGTAGCTACTGGTCAGAGATGTATTTGTCTCTGTTCAAGACGTAACTGATAATACCAACTGCACGCATGTACTGTTGGGCACATGCTACTTTTTGGGACCTATGATCTGTAACTATTAACCTTCCAGTTTTAAAGGAAGCTCAATGCCCGGGCTGGAAGGGAAAAAAAGGGCATAGATGCCAAAAGCTCTCGATTTAAGTACTAAAATGTCATTCAACTGAGACTGCCTATCCCAAATGAACCCCAATTGTCTGCCAACAAACTACCCGATGAAGAAAAAAACACACGTGCTGTACTCACTTGCCCATTTCATACAAGAACCGGTCTGCTCTTGCCACGCTGTCAAGTTCCCGTTCGTGCTCCTTCACCAAGGCCACTTCTTCAGGAGTTGGCACATATTTCAAAAGCTGAAAGAGACCCAACAAAGTGTCAACTCAACTTGAAGCACAGATGAGCCTTAGACAGCACCCTACGAATATTAACACAGCATGAGTGAAGTCATCGCTTCATGAGTTTATTGGGTTTATAGGCGGGATCAGAGAAACTTTACTTATGGTACAGCAAGGGTAACGGCTGGAGAGGAGATTGGAAGGACGGGGAAGGAAGCAAAACCTCCTTTCAAAAGGGGGAGGAAATGGCTCTAACCACACTTCCTCTTCATTGTTACCCTTCACTACAAAGCTTCACTCTTCATCACTGTTCGAGTCAGAAGATTGGAAGAAAACAATGCTTCTTTATTGCTTAACCTAAATATCAAACAACCTATTCTCCTGTTTAGTTTTAAAAGTTTTACGCAGCTGCTCCAGGTCAGTACAATCTATTCTTTATCACCTAATACATCCATCTATACTCCTGCTTGAAGATAAAGCTCGGGTAAAGAGTTTTGCCAAATGCCAATAGAACAAAACACCATTACATGCACCTCTACATGAGATCAACCCTAAACACTGCCCTACAGAATTTGACATTATCATCTTTAAATATCAAGGATGCTCTACAACAAATTCGGCAAAATTAAACTTTGCATGCACTCGTAATATAGCAGCTGAGTTGGGAGTGTGTTTGAGACACGGTGCTTTTCCTGTTCAGGTTTTGCATCCTGTGACCTGTTTTCAATGTCTCAATTCTGCACTTATAATCTGCTTTGCTCTTCCACTTTTACTTCCATGAGGGTCCTCATGCTCCTAATTCTTCATCCCACTGCATCCTGCCACTCTGTCCCCCCACTACCCCGGCTGCACCACTGACCTGCTCCAGCATGTCCTTGGGGATGTCCTCCCCTTGGTCCATGCTCAGGACAGCCTTGGTGATCTCCTCGTTGGTCAGCTTGAGCTTGGACAGCAGGATGGTGCAGTTCTGGGCCCGCCGGCCATCGATGACAGACAGCTCCTTGCGCTTGCTGGACTTGAAGCTGAAGCCTGTCTCCCCGTCCGTGTCCACCTTCTGGTAGGCCGAGAAGACCTTGTCAAACTCCGTCAGGTCCATGATTTTTAAAATCTGAGAGCAAATATCACAAAACCTGAGTGGCATGTTCCCTTCCAAGGGAAAACAGGTAAGGCTTGTGGTAAAGAGGGTAAAGTAAATTGATTGTTGGGGACAGTAGGATACAAAATAGCTCCCAAATCATGGCCTTTTAAGCTCACTATCAAACCCAAGGTTGTAGTCAGGGGATTTTCAGAGTATCTCCTAGACACCCTGTGGGTTATTTTGGACATTCCAGTTCTGATGGAAGTGTACGTAAAGGTACACTGTAAAATGTCAGCAGCTTCAACACCCTGATTGTTTGAATTTGAGGCACAAGATTCCAATATTCACAGGCTTGCTGAGTCACCATTTAACGATCAACAGTAAATCTTGCACGGCTGTTCTGAAAAATACTTTGTTTGGAGATGCACTGTCAAAATGGAAGGGACACCTAAGCCAAAAAATAGTACAAGCCAGGCCTTGACGCAGAGACAGGGTGCGTTCAGTAGAGAGTGTTGCAACCTAATGGGCAAGTAGGCTCAAAGCGGATAGGTGAGGTCCGGCTGAGAAAATGCAGATTACCAAACTGGTTTTCTGAGCAAAAAAGACAAATTACCGGCTGACAGTTCATGCACAGTACATTGCTGTTTTAAAGAGCTGACAGAGCCCAATACCTTCATCCCGTCCAGTTCTGTCCATATCGTTCCCTGCAGCTGCAGATCGGGCAGTTTGGCCCAGTTGAATGATTTCAGCGGGTTGGAAGGCTTGGGATAGTTCTTCTTCTTGGCCATCATTCCTCCCATACCTGAAGCACACAAGACAACTCGCATATTTACATACGCTCACTGGAACTAAACTCTACACAGATAGGGAGGAGGGTTGTATCCATGTACATTTTCTCCAGTACTGCCCCGATGCATTTTGAACCATGCCAAGCTGTTGGGCTCCGTGTTTGCCAGAGTTCTTGGAGATATTTCGATGCAAATTTTCCGGCAAACCATTCCTGCAAAGAGCAGGTTCACTCACTTGAGAGCATGAACTATAGAGTGCTGAAGTGTGATGTCATTTAGAACCAGGAACTGCAGTGCAAACGAATGGAGTACGCAAGCGGGATGGTTCACGTGCTGCTCTCACACTTATGCCTTTTACACACATAACTGAGCGAAAAGTAGTCCTTTGGTACTCTATAAATGACATCATAACAAACATCTTTGTCAGACTGGATTGAGACAAAAGATAGCATAGCGCCGTGTAGCGGCGCAAGATGGCAAACTTCACCGTGAATACACGTAAAACGTTGTAATCGCATGGCCGCCATTTGAGCAAGCAATACACCTGCACAATGCACATTAATGCACAGGCGCAGCGGCAGGCACGTGCACCTGGTGAGCCCGCGCCTAAGCATTACCGTAAACTGCGCAGGCGTATCGCTTGCTCAAATGGCGCCCGTGGTAATTACACCTTTTGGGCAGAGTTATCCATCTTGCGCCTTTGGCGCTATATGATCTTTGATTGAGACTTCACAGATAGTGTCACAGTGGATGTATTTATAGGCATGCCAATACAGTCCAACCTCAGTCGACTCGGTCCTTCAGACTCTGCAGAGTACCTTGTTATAACTTGTTGTGTAAACAGTGCCCTCCTTAACAAGGATCAACTGTATCAGAAAAGATCGGCCATAAAGATCAGCAAAGATATTTAGAAAGGCAGAATCCCTTCAAAAGTCTTTGAAAAAAATCTGACCCTTTCAGCAATAAGACGATTGCATGAGGTCCTCGACAAGAGGAAGAGGAATATGAACTTCAAAACAGAAGAGATTTATACTGTTTCAAATGGCATAAGCAACAGCTGTGATAGCTGCATCAGCAAAGCACACAGCATAACGCCAGCACTCCCGCACATCCTACCTGGAGGGGGTGGCGGCCCTCCCTGGCCTGGAGGCGGCGGCGGAGCTGGAGGTCCCATGCCGGGGGGTGGGGGTGGGGCAAATGGTGCAGCAGGGGGCGGGGGAGGTGCCGGCTGTCCTGAGAGGGATGCTGGGGATTTCAGGGAGTCTACTTTCAGCATGTCGTCATCTGAGAGACTGACGGCCCCTAGCTTGCCGCTGGCAATCTGCATGCAGAAAAGAGGTTAATAATTCAACACAAAGTATGCTGCAGCCAACCAAATGCTACAACTTTATATGAACAAATGTACCATTTAAATCCCAATGTGGACTCTGTAGTAAATCCCTAAATGAGGCAACACACAGAGGATGGGATATCATGTGAAAGCCAATACATCATACAAATACTTCAAACCCGGTGCCTTCACAAATGCCCTTTTAGTTTATACACACCCAATGAAAATGGGACATGCATATTTTGAGTTATATGCACTTAAACCAGCCCATGAACGTGGTGTGTTGACCTATTAGTATTGCCAAGGTTAAAATTCTCCAAACAAACCACTAACTCATCCTTTGGACAATGATTAGCACACCAGTAATGCACAGTATGTAGGCTGCAGGACAGGCCACCAGTGTTTGTTCACAGAGGTGGTCCAGATTAATGCCGGTTTGTGCTGATAAATAATTTGAAACTTGTGATTATTATTAAATACCGAAGCCATATTCTAAATGTACAGGTGTGCAACTTTGGACTTTGACCAAAAAACGAGGAAATTCCAGTCTTTACTAAAGAGTGTCGGGTGTTTTTCAGTTCTTAGTGGCATGAGTGTGGAGTGAAATATGAAGAAATCAGCTGATCCCAGGAAAAGCTGCATGACTGAATAAAAGTGAGGGATGAACCCAAGAATGAGGGAATACAGTCAAGCATGACTTCCCTGGGAAGGTTTATTGACCAGTGATTTAACTGCAGTCTGCACTTGTATCCTGCCACAAGCTGTCACCTTCATGGTAATGGGCTTAATATAACAAACATTATCTGGCAAAAGTTTTTACAATGGCCTAAGTCAAATAAATGGTGTGGTCAAGTTGTCCTCAGTGGTCTTACCATGGCCTTGAGCTCAGCCATCTGGGCCTGCAACTCCTGCCCTTGTCTGCTGGACATGGCCAACTCTGCCGCTTGCTGGTCAAACCGTTCCTGGATCGAATTGAGCGCACTCATGGCTTCCTCCTAGAATGAGAATGACCACCAGAAACACAGTCAGAATCTGAACCTGGCATCCAATCAGAGCCAATAATCATGCTTTTGTTTTTTTGGCTCATCTACCACACAATTCCCACGGCAGGGAAAAATTGACACTTTCAAGCCAAGCACTTGCAAATATACTGGAGATGAATGATAAAAAAATTGCCCACGTACCAAAACTACAATTACCTACACAAACTGTGATGAACATGAGATATTTGAATTTCAAAACTTCTGAAAACTACTGGAAAACCTTCAGAGGCGGAAGTTCCACATAAAGGACTAACCCAGAACCACCGAGAATGGTTGGGGTTTGAAACCAGCGCCAAGTCTTCCATGAAAAGCATTCTATGGTTATTACTAAATCTAAAAATGAGGGGAATAGACAAGCTCTACTTTAATTTCAAAGGGACAGCCAAGATTTCTAACCACAATAGATAACTGGTCATTTATACCACGTACTCAGCTTTTTGTGAATGTGTGAGGTGTAGCAACAGCAAGACATTTAAAATGATTACTGCAAAGTTTGATGCACAGCTGTTGGGGTTTTTAGCATTAAAATCAAAAAAGCCAGGCAATGGACAGTGAACCTTGACGAGCAAACTGGCGACTTTACGTACAGGTGAAGAGTGAACTAAATGTCAACAAAGTCACAATATGGAAGAATTCTGGGCAATATCCCTGGATTTTGGACAGCATAGAGGAAGCTTCAGCTGCCCAGATGGGTACAGTGGTACATGCTAAAAAACCACATATGCCAGAGGCTTATAAAGATGGCGGTGATTGAAAAAATTAAAAATCAATTTAAAAAAAATGGAGTACAAACAAAACAAAAAACTCTGCCGTTTCGTTGCAGAGAAGTTGAAATCCAACCTATTACCATCCCATGGCGTCAGCAACCTACTTTTCTAACCTGTAAAACTGTTTGGACTTTTACAGTTCATGATTGGCCAACATTTACATGAAGCAATAATTGTAATGGGCCACCAGCAATGGCCTACATGTATGCAGTATTGACTAGCAAGCACACGTCAAAGAAAACGAAGCTGACACCGTCATCCGATAGGAAATCATGCATATTCTTCGAATATGCTCTCACAAAAATCATTCCTTTCAAGTTTGACAGCCATACAAGTTACCGCACGGCTGCATGTGAAAAACACAACAAACGCTGTACCTTATCAGGACCAGAAAGATGTACATGTAGGTCCATTAATTACCAGCAAGGGAAAAAGTCCAAGGTGAACAATAAATCCCCAGTCCCAGTGTTCAAAAGCAACTGAGAGAAACCGATGAGCGTTAACAGGATAGCTAAGGTGAGGCCAGCCTGCAACGTGGCGGCATTCGTGTTGCAACATGAGTTATTGGCAATTTGGCGTAATCATTTCATGCATGGGAGCAGTGGGCAATGTGTGTGTCTGTGGGCATGCTTGGCATGGGTCTGATTGGTGACCGAGCTGGAGAAGACTGGCCCGACTGGTTTCCCTGGAGACATGCTGCGGCAGGTTTCAAATTACCATTCCAAAAACTTGTGCCTAGGACTGCACTTCCGTTCAGTATTTTCTCATCCAGTAGTGTAACCCTTTATTTCAAAACAACAAAACCCCACCCCTCTCCTCCCCCCCCCGAAAAAAATGACGGGAAAAAAAATTCTACTCATATTTCAACCATAACCCTCTGGTAATGTTTCAGCATACTGTTGTCTTCAGCATCTTTGGCTGACAAAATCTTGCTGGTACAAGCATTTTAGTTTTGATCAAACAGTTAATAGTACATGTAGATGCCAAACAACCATCCGCTAAGGGAATTGCCTTGCAAAAGCTGCACTCTGATCAGCTTCGCACTGAGCCAATCAAGAGTGCAATCACGACTGGGCAGGTGGTTCATGCCACGTGTCAGTAATAGGTGGCACTACTTCCAAAATCAACCAAAGGGAGCAAAAGGGTGATTCCGATCATCCAATCAAAATGATTCCGTTATTCTGGCACACATTTTTCAAGAAATCATTCAACTTCTCACGGCAAATGTACACAGCATTAATCAATCTTCTCTGCAAGATTCTCCAATGTTACACTGCCTACTATGAGGCAGTTGGCTGAACAACATTCTACCAACAAACAGATACAAAAGATCAGCCATTGATCATTTCACCCATCTAAACTTTCCCACACTGCCAGCACACCCCCTCCCCATGGCAAAATTCTTAGGAACAGCACCCAAAATAAACAAAAAGTAATAACAATGCTTCGAGTGTGAGGGGGGTTAATGTAAATACCAAAAATCCCAAACAAATTAGCAAATGCAGTTTACGACGATGAAGATGAGCCACAAACAATGACAGGGCGAGACATACATGAACATGATGAAAACACACACACACGTAATGTGACCAAGCGGCAGGGTAAGGCACATGTACAATCAAACAGAGTGACAGAGATGAGTTGCATTTTCTTGCAGGTGTCAAACACGGGAAGATGGCTTTCGGGTCTATTTGTTTATTCGGTCTTTTTTTGTTTGTTTGTTGGTTTGCAAGGCGGCCAAGAAAAAGAAGGTGAAAATAACAGAGCACCTGAGGCTAGCTGATACTGTACCCACCATTGTGGTGACGACAGGAAGAGGAGACAGGGCACATGGTGCGTCTGATCTCTGATTGCCCACGTTGGAACAGAGAGGATAGACACAGAGACAAGAGGGTTTTGAATGGCACAACATTCTTCTCAGTTATAAAAATCTTAAGAAGTAAACGCCGGGGGGGGGAGAGGGAGGAATTCGTGGGTCTGGTTCTTGCCTGTGGTCCCCTAGCAAAGCAACTTGGAGCACTTCTGTTTGTTCGGGGACTGGGTTTGCTTTGATTGAAAACCGGCTTTCAAATACTGCACAGTATCTCTCGCGAACGGGCGGTTAGCTGTGACATCCGCCAACTTTCATCTCAAGATGGGCACTGTTCCAAAATGCCCATGTGAAAATAACATGGCTTTGAACCGAACAGCAGAATTTGGCAGAGTAAGGGAATGATGTGAACCATGTGACAGGTGGACAAAAAAACAGACTGCAAGTTTTAAGAGGGCGTTTCTACGTCGTAGAAGACTTGCACAGGTAGTATACAGCATATATGGTGGCATTTTTGTTCAGAAATAATCAGTACTTTCTCTTATAATGACAACTTGCTAATTATGCTATGTCTTTAGAATCTATTATTTTAATCAGCAGAAATTCAGAAGTACATTTTCAAAAAGCTGCTTTGATTTGGGGGCCAAGTTCAGAAAACGACTACCCTAAACCCCCCCCCCGCAATTTAAAACAAAAATGAAAAACTGTGGTTGTAAAGTTTTGAAGTAAGAAAATAAAAAGAAGTTGACAAAATAACATGACTCATGGGAAGTTGTTGAGACATAGCCAGGGTGAAGCAAAATTATACATGATGAATCTGGCACAGAAACAGATCAAAAAGAAATGTCACTTTTACATGTACAAATTGCAGGGAATCTTTTTTTTTCTGGTAAATTCACACACCAGCCCGTCCTGCTTCAGAATGCTATAGAAAAGTATTCCTTTGAGCAAATAGACAAACAAGAACAACACTTACGTGAAGTCAAATAACGCATAACAAATGAATGAAGCGCAACCAGACAAAAACGAAATTGATAAAAAAAAAACTGATTAAGGTGAAACATGTAAATGTAAGGAATGGAAACTAGGGGGAAAAAAGCAGGTGTGCTGTAATGAATGACTCAGCAACAAAAAATAAAAACAACAAAAAAAAGACAAAGAAACAAGCATGTTGGATGAATCCCCTCCCTGAATACACTGATCCCAGATAGTAGTTAGTGCTGAGCACCCCTCAGATTAAAATGTGCCTATGCGCCCCCAATGCAAGCCCAGCCATTTTGGGATGTTTAACATGTTGCACCATTTCCATTAAAAAAAAAATCTTGAAATCATGGCTCAGATATCAACAGAGATATTTGCATTTTGCACCGAAAAAAAAAGAAAAGCAAGAGAAACCACACAGGACTGAAGGAATTATTTTGTTTTCATTAAGAAGATGGACATTTCATCCAGGACGACTCCGCACACTGGTAATTCCTGGTTTCTCCGCAGTACGGATCTCCGTTTTATTTCTCGCAAGTCAGACTTCACCAACCTTTCCTCTACACACCTATCGTGGTAATGATGAAGATGGCAATAATGGTTGTTTCCTAAAATGGTTCCCCCTCAAAAAGAAGCGTGTCATTGGAGGAATGGACATTTACTCCTAACTAAAAAAAACAAACCGAATTGCTGCGGTGCGTGTGACTGCTGACATCTGACGACAGATGAAAATGGGAACAACTCCATCAATAATCGTTTCCTTTTTCGCAGATGTGACACAAAATGTTTGACATTGATAGAGGGCTCTTCGGAAGAGAGCTTGTTACCTTCTCTTGGTTTTTGGCATCCAGTTCCCGTTCTTTTCGCTCCAGTTGGGCCTTCAGCTCCTCATAAGCTGTTGAGAGAAAGACGTTTCAAACAATGTAGTTGATTAGTTATGATCATCACGATAAATTGCCCCAAAATTGAAGGAAACAAATAACACTAGTAACAGGTTTATATATATTCAAAAATACCTAAGGCCGTTTAGCCATTCCTATTGGTTGGCAATAGGGGACACTAGTATCAGATCTTACTAAGACCCAAATGCTTGTTTCAATAGTTGGTTTCCCACCGAATACCAGATTGAGCTAGCACTGAGTAAGGCCTCCTGAGTGGACTCACATTTTTCCAACTCTTCCGCCTTCTGCTGCCTGATGACGTCCTGGTTGATGACCTTCTCAATCACGTCCTTGAAGTTGATGTCGAACGGTGCCACATCGGGATCGCCACCGTCCTCGTACTGCAGTACAATCTGCTGGACCAGCCGGTCTACCAGCGACCAGTGGTGTATGCTGCTGCCTTTATCTGGTAAGATTTAATTTTCATACAAAATGCAAAACCAGAGGCAATTGATTACTCCATGTGACTTTTCAATGTTTTTGATCAATCAAGAGGAAGACTGGTTCAGGTTTTTAAAGTCGTGCACTGTGGCAGTTTATCAAGGGACTAGTGGTGTATGCTTCTTCCTTTTGTGCAATTGAAGAAAAATACCACAAAACAAAGCAAAATCTAAACAAAGGAAAAAACTGACTATACAGATGACATCCACTGTTTTGCCAAGAACAGTCCAAGTTTTCTTCTTCTAAACTTGAATAATATTTCCCGCACTTTGGTCACTTGAAATCAACATCAAGAAAACACTTTAATGTTGCTGGTTAACTTTTGTACTTGACCATGAACGAGTTAATAAAGTTATTGTCAAAAGGCTTTCTTGGCTTCACATGCTAACAATACTACTGAAGTTCTACAATCTCTTGGCAAAACAAATTTTTCCCAAAGAAAACCAAGCTGAATTTGTAAACTTAATAAAAAACCCCAAGCAAAATGTTTACACCTAACAGTAACTTTGTGAAGTATATTACACTTAAAAAGTACTCACTTTGTCAGATATTGTACAAAAAAGTACCAAAGAGGTTGGGTTCACTATAGTTTGTACAAAAGTTTATTGTAAGTTTATTGAGTCTGTCTCTCAAAATATGGATATAAAAATATTTTTAATTTTTAAACGGAGAAAAAATAATTCTCGAGCCAGATAGAAGTACATCAAGTTATATTAGTTGTACAAATACTGATCTGATTTTAAAAAAAAAGCACCAAATATCCAACATAACATCACTGTACAATTCCCTATTTAGGCTTTTGAAATGTTAACAAGTTGCTCCCCCTCCAATTACAACTTTCAACAACACGCAGATGTGCTTCCATCTGAATAATTGATACTTCCAATCAGCTATTTACCTGACAATAAACAAACCCTTTTGTGTGCCTAATAAGGGGATGCTTTTTCAGGGCAGGAAACGTGTAATTTGAAGTGGCGACTATTTTTAGTTGGGGCGGGGGGCTGTGGTTGATTTGTTAGGAAGGAGGTAGGCAAGGTTACTTTGATGGCGTGGGTTGGATTTGGCGAGCACAAGTTAAATGTGTGCATCTGGGGTCTATGCTTGAGACCCGATCTCACAAAATGAGTCTTAAGGTCACTTACCGGTACATGTACATGCATATTTCATTTATTTGATTCTTATAGAATGTACTACATGCAGCTCACTAAGCTGTATCGTTTGGTTTGGCAACCTGATCACAATGGACATTATGGCGAAGAAAACAGTTGCAGGTTCCAACTGACTTCCACTGTGACAGACCTGTTTAATGGCCTTTAGCTCATAACTTTCAGTATTGTATTTGAGTCCATCACAAGTCCCTTGCAAGTCCCTGTAAGTCCATCACCAGTCCATCACAAGTCATTCAGTCTTTATCCAATTCACAAGCTATTCAGATGAGCTGTGACAAAGCATTCTTTTGTCATTGGTCATCCTGTTTAATGACTGGCCTTGTGAAGGGACTTGTGAAGGCACTTGCAAAGGGACTTGTGACTGGCCTTGTGAAGGGACTTGTGAAAGGACTTATGATGGACTCGAATACAACACTGATAAGTCATTCTGGCAACTTGTGACTCCTTTTGTTAAGCAGGGTCGCATTTTATTAAATGGGAGAATTGTAAACATCATTTGAAATGTATAGTGTATTGAATCAGATTTCAGTTTAAACTTAACTAATGAAGCTTTAACACTCTTGCAATCAGAAGCCTTATAAAACCACCAGTTTTCAAGAAAGGAGGGGACTTCTAAATTTAACAGGAGGTGTATTGCCTCTTGCAAAGAAATACTTCACATACTTTCCAAAGGTAACTTTGAGGCATGTGTTGGCACAAGCTTTTAAAAAGATTTTTATAAATTTTTCAGTTGATTTTCGACTACCGTATTGTCTTCTGTCTGGGACTGGGAAATTACCAATGCAGTGACTTGACTGCTAAGAAACACATGACTCACAAGTTTATCAGGAACAGATCCAGTTCAAGGCAAAAGGATGTCACGCCAGCCACTGGCTGATTGGAGGGCTGGAAATAGTACTCGGAAAGTAACCGCCAAAAAAGGTTCATGCATGCTTGCATCCTGTCCATTGCACTGAACATCACTCTAATTTACCGTCATTGGAATGACTACTGTTCACTGGGAGTGTTCCTTCAAGAATGCATTCACAGCATTAACTGTTATTTTTAATGTCTTTCTCATCTCAAAAAATCAAATCATCATGAAATCAAAACCTTGTGTAACGATAGTGTGATTCCGGTGTACTAAAGAACAGTGAGTGCAACCATTTTTTGCACTGATTTTTTAATGCAAAATCCAGATTTTTTTGGTGGGGGGCATTGAGGGAGAATTGTCTTTGGCTCGCCACTATGACACAATGACACCTCGTAATACGTTAACTGTGAAGATATTCATGAAGTCAGCCGCTGAATCTCACTTACTTGGAAGGAGCAGAAAATGTTGAAGGAGTGACAGGAAGTGTGGGTAGGCCTGAGTGTGTGCTATCTTCTTCTTAATCACTTCAAACATGCTATTTGCACTCCGGACATCTACATGTACCTGGGGGAGGGGGGGGAAAGACATCATTTGTCCTGTTTACCAATCGTACACTTTCCAATTAGTGACACGTAAAAGCACTGTTTCTGTATGTGTTTTTGGAAAAGGGACCATATTTGTGTCAACCACAGCACGGCGCGTGCAGATTGGTCAACAATTTGGGAGATTATGAATCAAATGTTTATACCCCCCTCACCCAGAATTACGAAGTCGGCACAAGAGCTACTGTCTAAATTCCCTTCATGTCTTCTCTTAAATCTCCTCTTAAATCTCAAACCCGAACTAATCACTTATTCGTTGCTTGGTTCGGCTTAGACAAACCAAACTAAGCACAGCAATATTCCCTGAACACCGGCTAACACTTACCATGTTAAATCTCTTGGCTAGTTCCCTTTCATCTTCATTCCGTACTAATTCAAAAAAATCTAAATGCCTGCAGGGTGAAAAACAAAATCACAAGACAACAATTAAACATGGGTAATTTGAAATGATACACATAGTGTAGGTAATACATCACATTGTTACTGATGCACCTACTTTTAAACACAGAGTAGGATGTCATCTCTTTTCATTGATAAATTTGTTATTTCATTTTTGATTCACTTTTTGGGGGGCGGGTGTAAAAAAGGGGGGGGGTGACCCCCAATCCCCCCTCTGGGTCTACACTTGGTGCCACGGACATATATAAAAAAAATCTGGACTTGCAATGCCTTTGTATGAAACAGAAGCCAACCAGCGGCCATTTTACCGAGCCAAATACAAATGCGCGGGTTGGCTCGCTTGCCATTGCACCTATTGACGCCAGGTACAACAAAGGCGGGCATTGCCTGGGAAGCTTTGTATTCGGCTCGGTAAAATGGCCGCTAGTGGATTCAGTGTTCTCTATAAGCTGATTAAGGGCATTTCAAGTCCAGATTTTTGTATATACGTCCATGTTTGGTGCATCTAAACCAAAGACAAATTTTCACTTCTGCATATTTTAAATAGAGACACTGACAGCTACTTGACGGAACAGACTTGAGAACATGATTCTCTAGCCATAACTCTGCTGTTCCCGCTGGTAACATTTGCATATGAGTCAACGGTCTGAAGAGCATATAAGGTTTCTGACCAACACACAGACACTACAGAAAGGACTCCCTAACCTATCTACGGTGGCGTTCTCCAGACTCCGAAGCTTGTCTATGACCGGCTGAATACCCAGCATGAGAAACTCGTACCGCAAGTGAATTCTGAATTCCAGGTTGTCCTGAGGAAAGGGGGGAGGAGGTTGAAGGAAGGGAAACACGTAAAATATCCATCAAAAGGACCGACAATCATGCACTGAACGTGTGCTCGAGAAGCCGTCTTTGAAATGAGCACGATCAAATTAAGAACCTGATCTTTCCCAGAGTCACAGATTTACCACACTTTAGCCATTGAGTGAGCTCCTCTGTGATACTGCTGAAAACTGCTTCACAGACTGCACTTTCGATGGAAGGGTACCAGATGGAAAGTGTCACAGTATGGAAGTGTATCTCCTTGGAACTATGTCCCCACTGAGGTTTATTTGGACAAGGTGCTAGTGCAACTACAGGAAAGTGTTGATGCCTGATAAATTCAGTGGAACTCAGCTGAAAAGGGTTCTTTGCTGTGTGTTTTCACAGAGAGGCACTCATGCCTATGAGTGTTTGTTGGACGCTACTGCAATTAGCAGAGCTAGAGTTAATTGGGACAGGAAATCTGGATTGGCTTTTCAACTATGAAATCAGTAATGGCTGATTCAAATTTCTTACCAAGAGACCAGTCACAACTAACTTTCAAATAATAACAGGTTGACAACATTCTAAAGTACTATGCTAGAAACAGAATTCCATTAGCTCAACAGTGAGTTAAGAAGGTTTGATATGAACTTTGTTCCCCCTGCTGGCACAGAGGATATTTGTGCACATTCAGACGAAAATTGGTAATGGACACTCAATGTCTTACACAACATGCACAAACGAGTGCATGCAATGGTCCTTGAAATCAACGTTCTTCAATGTAGGCCTCTACACAATCTACTTTTCCTCCGAGTGACATCCAAAAGAGAAAGTCAGAAAAAGCTCAACTCAAGTTTACCATTTCCAAGCGGCTGACAGGCTTTCAAAAAGTCTTACCTCCCCTGCTCCATATTTGATGATGGCATTGATGAAGGACAGGATGGCAGTCTTCAGGTTGACCTCTTCCCTGTAGTGGCCCGTACTCCGGTCCAGGTCGTTGACTAACCTCTGCAAAAAGAAACGAATATCACATTTTTCAAAGCAGGGAAACAAAAGCTTGTACCTTTGCTAGATGTTTAATCTCATTGTGCCTCATCAGAACATAAGTATGAGAAATGTCATGGTTTCCACTCGTCAAATTCTTTTAAACTGTTGACCAGTCTATTAGCAATATTTTTTAATTACTTCTGAAATATAGCTTTAGTTTATGATATGAAACTTCCTGTGATCTTCAGTATTCAAGTTGACATAGAACTTCACAAGTCAACCTGAAATTTTTGTGCCTTTCAAAATGACGGCAAACCTTTGCAACAACAGACCAATCTTGAGGCATCTTGAGGTACACATGCACAGTGTCAAAGCCAGACTGGCTCAATGTGAGTTCACACAAGGAAGGAGGAGCCCCTGAACCAATCAAAACTGGGTTGAGATAGCTGGGGTAATCCTAAATCACCTGGAACCTTGTCCTCTCCGAGGCGTACTCTTGGTAGTGGGACATGGCAGTCAGAACCTTGCGGTGTCCCCCAGGCACCAGGCACACTCCACCCAAGATCTCCAGGACCTGAATCTTGGTCTTGATGTTCTCCGAGCTCATGCTCTGGGTAACGATGTTGATGGCAGTTGGGTGGGCTAACACGTCTGCCCTGCCATGCTAGAAGTTTTGTAAATTGATAAAGAGAAATTTCAAATCACTCTACTTGTAACTGGTCAAGGGGTAGTAAATGTTGAAACCAAAAAGGATTTACATGTAACTCAACACTCAAGGGCTTCATGTAAATGTACTTTTATTTGTAGATATTTTGCCAGCCTGTCCAGTGACAGGACGAGTTACTTACTGAATTATTCATGAGAGCCTTGATGCAGCCAATCACTGATGTATGAATGGGACTTTCCATCAAATCAAAGTCCATATTTTCAAGAAACTCCAGTAGAACGGACAGCCCATCCAGCTCAATGAACCTCATCACAAACCTAACCAATAAACGATTACAATAATTATCAGAAGACATTGTGAAAAATACTGCATATATGCTGGAAAGTGTAAAAAGCTTTTTTTTTCACATGTTCAACTAGCAACTCATAAATACCTGGGACAGTGTTTCTATTCCTATTGGTGAAAGTGTGTCACATGACCATGTATTAACATTTGATAATGCCCACTGAGAAGTGATGTGACCTGCATAAATGACACGCTGGCACACGAATACAAGGCAGTTTAATCGGGTCTGATTGGTCAGTAGTCTGTGTGCACGCGACATGCCATGTGCATGCCACGTTCATTGAAGCGGATTCTACTGCACAACTTCAAAAGGAATATACCATAAAATGGACGGGGGTGTTGGGGAAAATGAAAGGAAAGTTTTAGAACAAATTGTTGGAAATCCGTCATATGTTGACTCTGGACTCTGAATAAAAAGGTATTTATGAATGGGAATAAATATGTGCTTGGCCAGTCTTAAACTAACGGTTGAGACCTTGCTCAGGAGACTGAATGCTGATTAGTCGCGTCCATTCTCCTGGGCCAGTCTTAAATGCACGTTTAAGACTGGCCAAGCACATACGTGTATTTATCTCTAAATAAATGACTTCTTCTAATGTGACAAACCTCTTTTTCAGTATTTGTTATTTTGACAGCTTCTCTCGTCTGTCATGAGCTAAATTAAAACTACATGCAGTAATTGAAGGTAAGTACAATTTGACACGTAAAATACAAACAAAATTAATTTTATGTAATACTCGGAAATACACAGCCTAAAAGGCCGACAATTCTGAGAAATGATTGAAATGACTGTTTCACATTTTAGATGAAACCTTGCCGCTTCATAAAAATGCATGCATAAAACTAAAACAGTGTTGTCACCCAAAAACCCGCAGTGCACCTGGGCACTATGTGGAACAAAAATGATCTGACAACAGTCATCCCATCAGTATGTGTACATATTTCAAAAAAATACTTTCTGTTCCTGTTTTTAATGTAAGCATCAATGGTTTCCATTCTTACAGAACTTCCTTTTAACTATTTTTGGGTCGCGTTTACTTAATCTAGTTTCTAATTATCCGTGCGTGTTTCCTGGCTACGCCTACCATATAAAGCTCTTGTTGAGTATTTACTAATTTTTACAATTTGGGTGTGTGGGCTGGATTTGGGGGGTTGGAATTGTGTCGTCCATAGCCTACATGTGAATACTGTGTACTATGGTATTATGGGAGGGACGTTTTGGCAGTCCCTCACCAACTGTGCACTACGGTGGGGAATTCACTTAATCCAAATACACGTAAAATAATCCCCTAAGGTTTTGAATCTTGTACTGGATTTTGACTTTATTCAGCACTCTGGTCTGACATCTACAATTACCCGATTAATTCCCCTAATATGTTGCGAGAGGTTGCTTGGATTCTGGGCATCATAAGTTCAAGGAATGCCAAAGTTGGTCAGAGAAGGCAGCATTTTCCTACATTTTAAGAACAAAATATGTTCAAAAGATGTGTCTCTCAAACTTCAGTTGACTCTGGTGAGCCTTGTGGGTTGTATTCAATGGGTGTTTCTAAAGTACAATGTAACTGCAACACATTCATGGCTATGTCAAGGCAGGGAGGTGCATTTCTTTTTCCTGGCTTGAGAGTTTTGGTTTGAATGGTTCTATTAAGTTTCACCTCATCGGTTGCGTCCGAAGAGCCGTCTTCAGACTGTCCACCAAGTTTGTTCTGGCAGCTATGACATCCTCATCATGGGTAAAGGCCAACTGAGAGAATTGAAAACAACACAAAAAAAGGTTATTCACTGATGTTGAAATGTGATGACACATGCACAGTATTCCTACAGAAGCATGAAAGTGATCAAAGCGCCAACACACAGTTGCAACATGTTATCTGAATTACAAAAACACATCATGCCATGGCACTTCGTACATGTACATGTGCGTGTACGTGTATCTACACATTACAAATCCATACTGTTTTTACACATGTACAACATGTACATGTAGGCTATACAAATAAACAGACTTTACCTGCATGGAGCCCGGAAATACATGTGTATCAATATACAAGTACAGGTGCTGGTATACGACCCTCTTCCAGAGCAGGCCAAAGTAAATGTATACTGCATGTAACCCTGCCAAGATCTTTGAAAGTTTTGCTTTGGTATACCCATGGTGGGTGTACAAAGGAAACCGACTGTAGAATTTCTGTTGAATCTGGGGAATTATTCGGGTCTCAACCACATCTATAAGTTTTCAGTTCTGCTTGAGAGTTGTAATTTCACTTGACAGTAGCTAGTCTAGGTGCACATGCAAGTAATCCATCCAGCATTCAGAAACATTACTCTACACGTACATATACCATTGTCCATGCATTTTCCCTCCAGCACTGCATCTGTGCGTCTATAAATCTGAAACCCCTGCTCATTAAGATGAGTGTTGCACATGGTAAAAAGAGCAGAAAAAGGCCAGGGAATCCGGCAGGGGAAAGTAAAAACCAGAAGGAAGGAGACAGGTGGGTATGAACGATGTAAACTGTTACCGTCATCATGGCCTTCAGCTGGTCAAGATAGTAGTCTGGCCACTTGGTTGAATTGGGATCATCTTGTTCCTGGTAATAAATAAGAAATACTTACAGTTACCACACTGTGAAACTTTGGAGGGAGAAAGAGATAAGAAAATGTTATGCTACACTCTGCAGAATGTGGTGTAAGATTACCTCCCTTGTTGATGTGGGTACAGTTTTGACAACTTACATCAATGATCAAGGTGCAGACAATTGATGTTTGGACCAATGTTGGCCAAACCTCGACTTGTTAGTTGAGCATGGGCTGCATGAGCAAATTTTGAGGGTGAACAGTGAATGACCAGTTTAAGTGTCTTCCTCCTTGTGTAAACCATTTTAATACCAATGCCCTAATAAATTTGATTATTCTTACTGCATTGAATTCTTCCTCTCAAAAAAAAACCATGAAGCAGTTCTATTTCAAACAGAAATCCACGTAGTTTGGGCACATGACTGAACTTTCTAGAGCTTTCTTGGCCCAAACCAGATCACCTGCCCCCAAAACTCATTAGTTTGTATAACCCTTTGCATAAAATTCAAACATCTCTGTTAAAATGCTTTAATTACAATGGGTCCAGAGACAGAATATACAGCATACCACTGTTGACCTTAAAAGGCCAGGTTTTGCACATACAAGTATATTAAATATGTACATGAGTATATATTTAAACATGTATCATAATTTACTGTTCTGATTACGTGGAAGTGTATACATGTCACACGTACATGTACAATAACACCGTCACCAATTTTGCAACAGCAATGTGGTCTGTTTTTGCTTTCATAATGCTGGCAAACCCCTCGTATCCTGTTATGAAATATATTATCCCAATGGCATTTTATCATTATTTTTCACCCCTCGAACCATCTGTTTTTTCCCAACTCTCTCTAGGTGTTTGCGGGAGTCTAACGTCCTTGGGAAATAACCTGCTTCTTACGAAAACAGCCTAGGGTTTTGACAGACACACCCAGGTCAAGATGATAACCTCACAAGGCAGAATCACACAAGTTAAAGTCATAGGGGAACCAGCATACACGTACATGTACTTGCACCATACTTAAAAGTACAGGTACATGTAGAATGACCAAGAACAGTATATAAGTCTATGACCTGTAGAAGTGTGTTATCATCTGCACTAGTAAGCAATTGACATGTAACATACTGTTTATTTGCTTATGCTAACGTGGCACATACATTTCATAAGAGACAAGCAGAAATGTATTCGCTTTAGCAGCTTTGCAAATCTGGGCTAAGAGGATTGCTCTTACTCCCATGATACAACCCAGGGCCTCAGTGGCACGCTATACATGTATGTACATGTACATGAACAGACAGAACATACATACATGTACCACTTGTATTAATATAAAAAATGACCAACTTTCATCTCATTGATGCATGCATCAGTCCTTCATTTTATGCGTTCTTCCTAATGAACCATTCTCGGGCGAAAAATTTGTCATGAGACCCACAACAAATGAGAAAACCATGATGTACCCCTACAAAGCTGAAATAGGGCCAGGGCCAAAGGCACACACATGCCAGTTTCCCATCTGTCACTGCAGGCCCCAATAATGGGTGTCCATGTACATGTGTAGTTTGCCTGTTCCAATAACAACATCGGCAGGTGTTGATGAATGGGCAAGGGTACTCTCAGCGCCAGACCCCTGGGAGATCACCTGTGAAGGGCCCACTCCCTCCATGAGTTGTGGTTGCAGGGGCCCAACATTAAAAAAAGGGGGGCCAGGGGATAACAGGCAGTGTCAGCCTTGAAGGGAAGGTTTTGGCAACAGCAACATTTTTACTGTTGCCATTATAACATCAGTAACTGTATGCAATACAGAAGCTGGCTTCACAGCTGAGACATTCCATCACCTCAATGCGCATGCACATTACAACAAAGAGGTTTTAATCAAGAGAAACTTGCATCAAATGCTTAATGAGTAATCTTACAAAAAACTTCACTTGCTTCAGTAATTATTTGCCAATGAGCGTGCGGTCCTGCAAGAACCGGAAGCAGAATTTCCCAGGCACCTTCAAATGTTTCAGCTGGATAGGACGTTGAGAAAAACTGTCTCTCGCAAGCTTTAATGTTTACAAATCAATCACTTTGATTTGTTGACGGCAAAAGCGAACTCATCAAGTGTTTGTGCTGGATGGGCTGCAGCACGCATGTACATAAAATAAATGTCAAGCATTGCAGGTAAATGTAGCGCACATCCGTCAGCTGTCAACCCCCCCCCAAAAAAAAACCAACCCATAAGGAAAGTGGCAGAAGTATGGGGTAACAGGCACTGCGAGGGGAGCTACATGTACCTCAAACAGTAACAAAAAAAGTGTACTAAAGTGGCCAGATCATGTAAAAGCCGTACAAGTTAGAGGGACCGACATTTCGATTCCTATGGTAGCAAAACTTCACACTGTAACAATGCCTGAAGAAAACCTACTTCCTTCCCCCTTCCCCCCAAAAACAAAAAATCCGCACCAAAGCTAATGAAAAGTAAACGGAATAGGTGCATGCCTCCGTGTACATGGTACATTTGTGGTGGAAGTCAGAATATGACAACTTTGGGGAAAAGTTTTCAATCACCAGTAATTACACACTGGAGTAGTTCCTTTTCAGCTGGGGAGACAGGCTCCAGCTTGATGAGTGGTACTTGTTGATATTTTCCCACGATCCATTTTACACATGCAGGATTTTCATCCCTACTGTGTGATATGCCACTTAAGGAAAAAAAAAAAGGTACTTTAACCCACATTCTACATGTAAGGTTCAGATGGGAGACGTGCTTTCAGGCTTGACATTTTGACCAGAAAACTCATTTCCAAGGAATTTTTTAATGTGAACCTTATAAGGGTGGGGGGACAAAGCCTGTAGGATTTTCATATATACATGTACGTAATACATGTACAATATGTGGCATACATTACATGTACCGGTACATGTACAGTGTAAGCCACCGATCCTCAATCAGGTTTACAAATTAATGACAAAACCACACTAGATCCTGTCTGGAAATGGAAATGTCTACTTCGACTTACGCCGTGCATGTACATGTACACGTACTGTGGAAATGCCTAAGGTAGTAGGCTGACCTTTTAACTTCGACCTTCAACATTTCCAGGAGCTGTCACAATTCCATTTCGATTGTGCTACTTTTAATTCCCACCCACAATTTCTAATCTGCCCATCCAAGAAATAAATCATTTGACAAGGAAGGATGTCTCCCTTCCCTTAAGTGTCAAACCAAAGTGGCCACTGACATTGCAAGAAATTGCCACGTTGATGCAGATCAGCATAATTAGAAAGCCTTACCATGTTATCTTCAAGGCCGACAACTTGACATTTTACAGAGCTTGTATCAAATTATTTCTAGGCCAAGTCCTTTTAAATTCAATTTCAGCTCACTTAAACTTCACATCGGTGTGCTTAGAAGGGAGCCAAATCAATTAACACATATTGCAGGTAGCTTGGTTTTGATATTTGTAAACAGTAATAAAAATTCAAAAAAATGTAGATATAACTGACAGCCAGCTCATTCATTCAACACTCAAATCATTTGGAAAAGAGTAAATAAGGAGACAAATTTGTTTAAACTAGTGATCAGATCCATGCACTGGGGAGACCCAAGGATTTACTGAATGGGATGACAAAGTAAACCTGCATGTAATCTGCCATGAGCACAAGCATCCCCTTATCCACTTCAAAGAGCTGTGTTGGTTAGGAGTGTTCATTTTGTTGGTGGCGATGCCACAGAAATGGGTGCATNCATTCCAGCTCCAGTGAAGTTCAGTCCCAACCAAAGGAGCCCTGTTACAAAGAAAATTGTACCCTCTATTGGTCCAACTTGGGGCTCATAAAAACTTCACCATATAGTACGTGTACACGCACACTGTGCATGAACCATGCAGCTATACAAATGAACTCCTAAAGAGATATGCCTTAAATTTTCAATGTTGAGGAAATCAAATTCTACATGTACATGAAAGCTTATGTGGCTGAACAGGCAGATGTTTATCTCTGGTTTCCTTGGCACAAAACCAAGAATATCCTGGTTCTCCCCAGACAAGTCGCAAGTCCATGTCAGGCTGTTCACAAGCTAATGCTGGTCCCTACTCATACTCCTGGATAGAGAAGGTGACATAGGGGTAAACGCAGCTTGTCCAACAACATACTGTGCATGTAGAGCCAGGAGATGCATGTGAGCCCTGTACCCTCGATCATGATTTACCGTACCGGTACACACAATAACCAGCACATGTGCTGCAAGTCACACTTCCCAAAAGTCACAGAAACTTGATGAATGGTCATCGCTGTTCAGAAACTCTTGGCATGAAATGAAAGGCTTTCAACCAATGCAAGCAGCTAGCTATACGAGTACACTGTGCCTTGAATGGTGCCCAGTACAACCATGTGCGCAATGCATGTAGCCACGGCAATTTGATTTTGAAATGTCAGCGAATCTGTGCACTGGCTGCATGGAAGGTCTTTGTAATTATTGCTAGTCATGCGGGTAGACCAATGTGCCTAGCAAATCCTGCCAATTGGCATTCTCTCCACTTCCCGGTTGTTACATGCATACATGTGGCTTCCTCAGTATGTCGCGCGTTTGGCAGGCAAGCCTCTATGTTTTAACAGAAATATCCTGTCTTCCTCAGATGATTGCCAAGACGACTATGGGGTCATTCATTTATTCTATTTTCATCAAGTTCATAAGCAACTAATTGCCTGGACCCAACAACACTATCTGAAGAAGACCAGAGCCTCTACCGCTGATCTTTGTCAATGTGGAATTAAACAGACAGAACACGTAACTGCTGCCTTGTTGTCGTTGCAGCTCCCTATGTGGTCCTACAGTACGTGTAAAGTGCATGTCGCGATACATGAACAAACGAGCGTACAACCTACAAAACATCTTCCTTTGCTCTTCCCTCACCCTCCACCTCCAAGGACAGTACTCAACTAAGAATGGCCAGTCGTCAAATGTCACAGTTTTTGAAAAGCATGCACAGGCCGACAGCCACCGCCCGCTAGGCCCTGGTGGATGTTCTGTAGACTCGGACAAACGCTAAAAAAAAAGGATGATCCCTACCATCATTAACATGTCCTTCGGGTAGTCAGTTGAAGCATACAAAAATGACTAATGAATGCCTAATTCTTAACATAGGAAAGGTTTCAGTACAGATCCAACCCAAGTGACAAAAGAAAAGTAAGGAAATTTTAGCATATGTAATCCTACACTTCTGAAACATGTGCACAATACATGTACGTACATTAATCAATTTTCTGAAGGCCTGATTTTCGGAGGCATTTGCAAGGCTGTGGATAATTAGATATTCAGGTGCATGTACATGTAAATGTATTTTGGAAAGTGGACAAGTGCCCTCTTCTGGGAAACTACCAAATTGTGACAAATCCTTGAGAAATGATGCTCAGTAAAGCAAGGACCAAGAATTTTGATGGGGAAGCAATAAGATTCCCCTTTTCATTTAAGACTGACTGTACATGTATGCCAATTTGTATTTCAACCTGGACGCAGCAGCTTCATTACCTAATATGGACATTTGCTATTTTGTTGCTGGCCCCCGGGTTCACCAAGAAAAAAAAAGGCGGCCGCCGCAACCAATCAGTATGATATACATGCAAGATTGGCTGTTCCAGCCACACACCACATATAACTGATGAAAAACTACCCTCCTCCGTCTACCTTCATACTGTTCGACACATAGGATCTAGAGTATGGTACATTAAAGGAAGGCTTCGGGGCTCAAAAGGAACTCAAGAGAACATTTTTCATAACCGTATTTCAACCTACACGTTCGGTAGCATCTCCACAAAAAACATACAGACACTGGCCCCTTGTGTGACCAAAAGGACCTACATGTACATGTAGGGGATACAATCTGTTAGGCTTCTGATAAAAAAAAAAACAGACACAACTGTACTTCTACACAATCCTACAGTGCATTATTGTAATTTCTGAAAAATGTCAGGAAAATATGTCGCAAAATCTATCCCCCAAAGCACCACAGACTCCCCAAGAAATAAAATATGCCAATTAAGCATCATATAGAAATGACATTTTATTTATTAATTCTAGCACAGTCACGGCAGCCTCAGGGCCAAGGTGGAGGCTTGCAATTAACACTTGCACGGCATTTTGTTTTCTAGATCTCTGCAGTCACTGGCAGACCTTTAAGAGATCTCCTCCGTCCCCCCAAAAATAGCAACGAACGGAAGAGATTCATCCCAAGTCATCCCTGAGGGACCAGATGAAAATTCCTGGCGCACAGATCATAACATCAGCCGGCCTAGTCATTCATGTTCCAAAAGAGGCATGACCATGATGTTGACTCTGTCTCTCAATGGAGACAGGCCCTGGAATTGCATGCAGTGATTAAGCCAGAGATGATGATTTGTCCCCAAGAGAATACATCCTGTTGGGTCCATAATGACTACCATGTGGCTTGGGCGGCTTCCACTGCCAACGATTCATTTTCCCCAGAGATTTTTCTGGAAGTCTTCCTTCCCAAAGTCCACCAGAAGAAGGATCTTCCAGATTCCAGGACCCCCATGCCACACGCTGACTCCGTTGTCAATTGCAGCGATCGGGTAAAATTAACTGGCTGTATGGATTTAGTGAGATGAGGAGTCTTCTCTTCAAAATTACAAGACACTTGAAGGTGATGAAGCTTCAAAGTCTGCTGTCAAAGTCCAGTGAGATATTCTGCTCCGTGGCTCCGATGGAGGACAACTATCTAACAATAATAATCGTACAGCAAAATCGCCTTGTCCCAGATTACTTACTTTCTTTTTGCTGCAATAAATCTGCCACTTCTTCTCTGGGGACAAGCTGAACATTCGTTCTCTGTGGAGGGCAGGGAGATCCAACTCATCCTGAAATTAACAAAATTAGAGGAATAAAAAGCTTGGAGATGGGATCAGTGTTTAACATGTGCATGTCCCAAGAAAACTTGCCCCTTAGTTTATCCAGATTTACTCTGGTTTATTTTCCTCATATTTACCAATTCATCAACTTCGGAATAAGAACACCATTGTCAGAATAGACCCCAGCATAAAAACTGTGAGAAAGTCTGACTTGGAAATACCCCTCCCCCCAAAAAAAGAGAAACACTATCCACATGTGCTCTTCATTCGGCTCAAAAAAGAGAAGAAAACCTCACTAACAACAAAGTCTTTGACATGTTTGTAAAAGTGCAGTTTCTATGTCAATAAAGACTAATTGTAACCCATTTGTTTTTGGTGTTTTTTCTTTTATTACACGTCTCTAAACAACTTATGCACAATTGAAATTGTGCAGCTTTCAAAACTTTTACCTGCATCATTGTAAGACTACGGCAAACTGTGTGGAAAGTGCCAGGTGAATGTACAATTAAATGTATATCAAAATGAAAGCTAAGATTGTTCATTCTGCAGCAAACATCTAACACATGAAGAAGTGAGCTGTTCATGTATGAACATTAACTGTACAATGTTCATGTAAGACTAACTTTGTGGGATCTGGTCAATATTGTAAGACCTGGGAAAAACCTACCACAAGTTCCACAAACATCAAGTTGAGCTCTTCCAGCGGTGGCATGGGGTCAGCGACCTCCATGGGGTGGAGGACCATCCCATTGTCCACATCGTAGGTGATGTGCGGCGTCTCATCCCCGCCTCCAAAGCACCCACACAGGAGCCCGCCCCCTCTCTTCCGAGGCATTGTATGTGGCGGCACTCCGCAAACTCGACAAAACGCACTCAACGAAGTCAACCGGAGGGGGCTATTCCAAGTATGTCAGAGGCATCTGCAGTTGGGAGATAGGGGAGAAAACAAATCTCTTTAGCAGCGATAACAAGCTTGGGGTGGAAGAATGGAGATCACGGTGCTGTTTGCATAAGCTTGTGATAACATTTTTTCAAAGATTACACAGGCTTTGTCCCAGGGCTACCACTGTATTATAAATACATGTACTGTATGTTGCTTCACAGTTCCACCCTCTCCCCTTGAAAGCTGGAGTTCAAAGAATTTCTTATTGGTTTACACCACAGGGAAGGATTCTACACGTACATTGTAATGTCAGGAAGTTCTAAGCAAAAATGATGTTACAATGAAACTTATCATTGGAAAACCACATTTCTTGAACTGTCATGTAATAGAGACATTCTGTATGAAAAACAAAACTCTAGAAACTATGACACTATTTGGCATCTGCTCAGTATGCAAAACTACCAATTTTTGGTTTTGTTTGATATTTCTCATCACAGATGTACGTGCATTCATGGAATAACGTGCTGGCCCACATCAAACTATCGAAAGTATGCACAATAAAAAAGGTCACCAAACCCTCTAGCAGTAGCAGTGCACGTGCACAACAGTCCCATATTTACATCATATCAAAAAACTGTGTACAACTTTGATTACAAATAACATAACAGTTTCTAACACTGCATGCATGTACCATGTACCATGTAGGTACCGTATGGCCTGTCCAAATATGGTTCAAGAGTGTGGAACGGATATCGTAATGCCTTAAATAGAGTACCGAAGTGAATACGTCACGCACACAATTAGTGTGTAAAAGGAATTCGCGCGAGAACTGGTGCGTGAACCAACACGCGCGCGTACTCCATTCGTTTGCACTGCACTTTCTGGTTCACAGTGATGTCACACTTCGGTACTCTAAAATATGAACATCAGAAGAATAGTGAAAATACAACAGCTATGATCAGCAAGTTTCTAGACTTTTATTTCATTCGTGTACTGAAATAAAATGTCTGGTTCCTGATATCAGTCGCCATGGTAGCCAAGTGGCAAATGTTGGCCACAATGCTGAGCAACTGGTTGAGAAAAAGTGTATATTTGGCACTGCATTTGTAATCACGTGGCTGCAGAAGTGCACATTTATCTGATATCTATGATTTAAAATTTGCAAGCTGAACCCTAAATGTGCATGCACACCCATGGATATTCGCACTCTCCAATAACAAGCGCAAATCACTCAACTGGAAAGGCACAGACGTGGCTGATCCAATCCAGTCATACCTACTATTACTGGATTACCAGGACCGCCAATTAGGAAATTTGATTCCGCGCAAGAAAAATTATCATACCCTGAATACTATCAAGTGGCCTAGCTGTACCAGATGGCTCTGGTAGACTTCGGTGGTGAAGGTAACACTCAATGCATTTAGCTACTCACATACATTGCAACCTGATAAATGTATGGGAAGAGTGCAGTACCCTGCTGACAGAATGCCAAATTTTGTTGCATACACTATAATACCGTTTATTAAGCAAATGTGAATAAATGTATACACCTGCTGTTCATCCTCAGAGGATTAGGATGTGTATGCTGATTAAAACCCTCCTATGCTGAAGTCATTCTTTGGGTCACTTGGTAAACACCTCAAAGAAGCACAGCTGTGTCGTGTTGTGCACTGCACCAACAGTCCCTCACAGGAATATAAGCCTGCACTTTTGTGCTGCCCAACAACTGTGCTTCACTGTTTCATGTGCATAATTGTGCAGTAAACCNCTGGGTCATTTTGTGCTGACAACTTACTGCCTACACAGTGAACCTGTGCATGTTTGTGTTCCATATAGAAAACACATGCTCACCAGTGACTGTGGGCGCTCGTGCATATTTGTGTTGTAAAACCAAAGGAGGGTTAATGACTACAAGTACATGTAGGAACAGTGCATGTACATGCAACTTTGATACCGACTACCAGCAAGCATTGTGAATACATTGTCTTTTAAGTGATATTAAAAAAATACCGGTACCCAGTACATTTAAGTTCATGTCATCCACCATCGAGTCCTACAGGTTTTTGGTACTGTACAGTGAACCCTACTGGTACCTTAGCTCAACTGATTTCAGAGTAGACAGGCTACCCCTGGTCAACACTTGAGTCACAAAACCATTTTTAGAGTGGGCTATTACGCAGGTAGTCGTGTTCTTAGTGACATTCATGCACCATGTTCACACTGTTTGATGAGGATGCTCAGCTATACTGCATACATGTCCATGCACCCGGTAAGTACACGTACGTGTACATGAAGCCTAGCATTGAAGTGCCTTCTTGTTCATTCCAAAACACTACAGACAAATCTGACGACCAAAATTAGAAGCCATTAGTACGGGGCCATGCGGTGTGCGCATGTGAAATTCCTCCTTGACCAACAGGCAGTAGTCAATTGCCGAAGTGCGCATGCGCGATCAGGTTGAGACAGCTGCATGAGTGCACCTGGCCCCTTGGCATGGCATCTCATCCGATTTGTCTATACCGGTAACTCAAAATTTAAATTATGTGTTCACATGTATGCTCTTACATGTAGTAATATGCGTGGGTATATGTACATGTAGGCTTACATGTTAAAAAATGATGTACATGTATGCATATTATACAGCATTAATGTACATACTATGTATGTACATGTACCCATACATGTGTGTACTATTGATAAAATACATGTACCCATTTGTGCAGTATGTGTGTAAACAATGCAATTTACAGTGTTATTTAATAGCCCATACAATTCAAAGCTAAGCTTGACTGAAAAAAGAAACAGGTGTTGTGAAATTGACCCTGGAAATTGACAGCCATTAGGCTTTACTACATATACATGTAGGTCAAGGTTACCACTTGGAGTGTACAGTGTACATGCAGGTACTCCAGTAAGTATAACACTAACAGCACCACAACATGCCGTTAGCCGGTGTCACTCAAAACCACAATTCAATCACTGCCATGGGATCCAACACAAAAGCAAAGTCCTGTGGTTGTAATCGCTTGATCCCAAACATTTCAAGCATGCACTTCAGTGTGGTCAGGTAATATTATGATATGTCCTTGTCACCGGAAGAACATTTCTAAGCAGTGAGACCAGGAAGTCTGGGCAAACTTTACCAGTGGCAATGAAGAAAGCATGAAAGACCTCTGCCAGCTTGTGAGTTAATGTGGTACAATACAGCAGCTACCAAACCATAATCTCAAACACCTGCTGATCAGGTCCCTCTAAAGGACCTGATGTAGTCAATTACACACATGTACGATGTATATTTGCAGATGCATTGCAGTTTGAGAGCATGTCCATGCACAGCAAAGCACCTACATGTACCAGTACTTGAATGTGCAATGTACTGTACAGTATGTATCGCATTTTGATTTAATCACTGTGTCACAAGCAAGAATATTGAATCCATACATGTTCATACATGTACTAGTACATGTAGTATAGTACCAGCACGGTTCATGTACATGTACATTGCATCCAGAAGTGCACAAACTGCCCCATTCAAATCACATGTATATAATTTGTACACTATGTGTGGTACAGTATTTCTATAAACTTGTGTATACTGCATCTCAAACACAGAACCAAGGCCAGAAAGACTCCCCAGTGGGCTACAAGGACACTGTACATGTACTTGTACAATCTCCTGCAACCCCCCAAGGAGAAAAATAGCAGTTAGTCATTAATACCAAAGCTGAAAGACAAACATACACCACAACTGATGCTGCTGTATCATTTCCAATAAACACATCTGCGGTAAGATATAGACGCCAACATATTTTTTCCAGCACCGACCGTCCTCTGGCCGGGCTCACTGCAGCGTGAAATCAAAGGCACCTGGTCCAAAAGGGAAATGCGTCAAAGTCTTCAGCCTCCTTCCAGTGAAGGTAGTGTGGAAATAATAATGGGGGAATAACATGAGGCAAACAAGGTGTGAAGGGCCTTTTTGAATGAGAAAGCCGCTTTCCACAAAAGGACACCCGGCACAAACACCAAGAAGTACACACAGAGTGGGCCTGCACGTTCTTTCGTCCGTGCATATGATGTAGGAAGAGAGGCACCCTACGCACTGCATGATACATGTACAAGTATTCTCTAAAGGAACCAGTCCACATGAGTACAATCAACACTTTGTTCGTTTACAGCTTATTCCTAAGTCCACAAAAATCACAAATAATTAGTGACACAGCAAAGTCAACAAAACACATAATTCATACTGTTGGTATTACTAAAAAGAAATTGCAGAGAGTAGGCCTCAGGAACAATGTCTTTTGTTGGGAAAGCTGGAACTGTATTGTGGGGACAAATGTGTTTGGTCCCCTGGTCCCTGTAATGTTTCAACATAATAGCCGTAATCCCCTTGAATTGTTACCAAGTAAGTGTGTTCACTTCACACTAAGAAAGCCACAGGAAAATCAGCAAAATATATGTACAAAAATAAAGTTCCCCCTTTTTAAGAGTTGTAAATTTCAAATGGATTTGGTGACTGCCAGCCATCATTATAGAGGTTGGACATGGTACACACATCCTGTGGAGGTGTGATTGAAATTCACAGTGTACACAGGTAAAATATATAGAGCTTCAAGGTTAAACACTAAACAATTAGTATTCCCATTTATTTTTTCAAAGGACAGGTGCATGGCTGCATGTGGCAGGTGATAAACTCATGTCACACAATGACAGCTGGCTGAAGGCCTGCACCTACGGGTACATGTACATCAGCTGAAAGTTGGACCTGAAATTTTACAGCAGACAGGAAAAAGTACCCTTGTACCATGCTTGTACTTTCTACCTACATCTACATGTAGGCTTCTTGGTCATTACCACCGCAAACCTCCTCAGGCTGATTTATTCCATCAGTATCAAAGGATCAGCAAAATAAACAGACACCTGACCACTAAATATTTGCTAAACAGAGAGCCTCTTGTTTGTAGCCAAGTGGCCCCATGGCTAGGGTAGGCCACAGACATCCCCAGTGATTATCATGCCATAGGGTGTCACACAGGA